ATGTGAGGCTGAGGAACAGCCCAGTCGGTAGAAGGTCTATTAAAGGATCTGAAAGTGGTAGGTTTTCTACCGCACCCATTTAGAGCCACGTACAGAATTTCAGTAAATTAAGGCTGGTTTATCTAATGCAACTCTTATTTAGTGCTTTCATTTTTATTGAAACATCTGAAAAAATATTAAAAAAAGAATAGCTCTCTGGACACTTACAATGAGAAAGAAAGGGCTGCTTTGGGAGAAGCAGATTCAGCAGTAGATAGGGCTATTAGAGCTCTTAGCATTAAGCCGGACTGTCTCCATGTAAATTCTACTTAATGCCCTAGTCCTGTCTCTGGGAGTGTAGAGAATAAGCTTAGTTTAGTGATGGCAACCCTTGCTGTAGCCATTTCTAATAGGTGAACACTTTCAGAGCATAATTTAGCGCCAGTCTTGAAGCAACAGCTGCAAACAAACGGAGGTGATACGTCAAACTCTGCCAGTCCAATACCACTTCCATGAGTTTTAAATAATTCTAATAAGGCTCTGACACTTGTTGTCAAATACACTGTCAGAGTACAATGCTGAGAAATAAAGATTATTATATAAAATATTATCAATTTATAGAGAACTGTGCTGTCTGATAAGGTAGCTAGTAGCCACATAGAAGCTAAAACACTTGAAATGCAGCCAGCATGTATACTTACTTTATAAGGTATAAAATATATACAAAGATCTCATTAACATATCAACTAAAATTATATTATTTTTTATTGACTTATGTTATTATATTGATCACATATGAAGTATTTTAGTTACCTTAGTAGAATGTTGAGAGTTAATCCGACCTTTTATTTTTATTGTCTGGGAATGTGTGTAGATGTGTACAAGCTGGAGCCAGAGGACAATGTTTAGGAGTTGGTTCTTTTTCCCACCACATGGATTGCAGGGATTGAATTTAGGTCACAAGGCTTGGCAAGAAGTGCCTTCCCCACTGAACTATCTCATGGCCCTACTCTTCTGTTATTACCGCAACATTAAAACTTATATTTGTGGCTCATGTTATATCCTAACTGGATATAGTATTGAATTCGCTCTGCTTGGCTCCCCATTGTGTTGACTTGGGTTAATATTCAGGTGGCTAAAATTTCTAAGTCCTAATTCTCCCTTCCCAGTTCTAAGTCTATTGTCTTAAGACTTATAGTCTTCTTTATTAAATTTTTGCTTGTTTGACTTGGTCCAATCTGTTAAACAATGTTTGGATCTGAACACAAGAGTTTGGCATACAAGTGGAACTCAATAAATACTTGTTAAATGAAGCTGGTTATCCAAAGGATTAAGGTATCTTTGTTTCATTTTCTCCACAAAAACAACGTGCTCGCCTAGATCAACGCTCTCATTCAAGCCCCACTAGAGACGTCTTTATTACTCAAGAGTGAACGAGCTGCGAAACTTTAACCTCATTTGGTCATTTACAAACGAGGCTTTTACAAGAGCACTGATTTAAGATCTCTTTGGGGATAAGGTCTTTACAAATTTTTATTTCTGAATTTCCTGGCCCTTAGTACTCACGCATTTGGACAAATGTCTAACAATCAACAAGTCTACCATTTTGACCCACATTTCTGGATCCTTCTGAGGACGGCATGAGATTCTGAAACGCTTCTGCTGAAACTCCAAACTTTCTGGACTTAACCTTTCCTGACAATCTTATTGTTTCTGACAGGCATGGGGAAATTGGTTCCATTTATATAAATTTTCTTACAAGATATGAAATTGGGTGATACCACACTTAAAGGTTCTAGGATGAGAGAATGGGAATGTTGAATAGCATCTGAACAGATACACGAGAACTGTAATTTCTTTTCAGTCTCCAAGGGCAAACTAATGAAAATAAATCCTTCAGAATATTTGAACTATTGATTTAATTTCAATAGAAACAGAATGGGTTTGATGGAAGGAAAGAACACGGTTTAGAAAGAGATCTAAATCTTGTTCTCATTTCTTAGTTATGTAATCCCCTAAACATCTTTGAGACAGAATGGAAACTATTCTCTTCTGGAATGGAAAGGTCAGTGGTTCTTAGCTCTATCTCTAATGTGTTCATTACGGGTAGGAGAACAGAAAGCCCCATTGTTTTTTCCTTAGATAACTTGGAAGACCTACTTTGTAGCTCTCACAGGTCCGAGGATCAATAAAGACAAGCCTTCTGAACCATACAAATACTTCATGCATCTCCCTTCTCGTTTTCCTTTCTCCTCGTTACCTATTTTCTTTTTTTCTTCTCCTAATATTTTTTCCTTTCTCTCTTTCTTCCAGCATTTCCTAACTGAATTTAAACTAGAAGAAAATATATTTATCAGTATTTAGAAACAGAATTCTGTGTCTGCATCTATTAATTCAGGAAGCACTGACAGTAATTAGGGGAAACACAATCCCACCATATGAATTTTTATCTGCTTTTCTGTAGATCAGTGGCCCACATTAGAGAAAGTTTTTAATAAATCTTCCTTAAGATAATGCTACATTATCACTTGTGTTTCTGACAGTCCAGTTGAACTTAGGTCAAGGGTCATAAAAATATAGTTCTGTAAACATTACTTTGTTAAATAAAGAATTGCAGAAATTCCAGAGGGTTGACTCCGCCTTGCTGAGTGTTTCCTATATGTAACCTTGGTTTCCCGTGAGAAAACACGGTATGGGGTCTCTTAGGAGCAATTTTCCTTTGATGATTAAATATGAGAGCACGGCTGTCATTACTGTCCCTCTGGACCACAACTAAAACTCACATACGGGTTACAATGTGTCAAATGTCCTATGGGAAACTTACATGCACTCACTCCCTACCCCTCACAAACCATCCTGGACATCATATTCCTCACATCTAGAGAAGAGAGGTTCATTATCTAATGAAGGTTTAATAAGTCAATGTCTAGGCAATGTGGCTGCAGAGTTCAGAGCTACGAACGGCTTGCTGTAGACGCAATCACACACTTTGCTATTCTACTTGTACGCTGCAGATACAGAAAGTGTGAAATCAAATCCATAGGAAAGACGAATATTACAAAAGCTATTTTGTAAAAAATTTCTTTCAAAGAAATTTTCTTTAGAATTTCAATGTAACCCTGTTTCCAATAACACATTATAATGCAGGGAAAGTGAACTGGACTGCATTTAATTGGACGTTTTAATACACGTAAATACATGTGTGTGTGTTCAGTTACATCATACCCTTTATGAACATATAAGAATATTCCACTAGTAATCACTGGGTTAAGAAGCGCTTCATACTTCTTATTTTACCATCTACGTAATGTGTACACAAGTCTCAATCATTGCGACTGGGAGAGCCTTTCTCTGTGGATCGTCAAGTCATTTTTTTTTTTTCAAGCGCACCATAATTCTAAAGTTTCGCCTTGGTTTGTGTATTCTGTTATTGATAAAACATCTCCACCATCGCTCCTTGCAGTCTGTAGACTAACCTGAAACGTGCACAGGCCAATGACCACGTAATTACTGCCACCATACACAATTAGGTTTCCCGAGTCCCCACTCTCAAAGGGATTAAATTCTACCACATGGACATAGTCTTCACAGTCCACGGTGTAGGCGGCATTTCTTGTCGCATCCTGCTTCATCTTGGATGAAGTTGTGAGGACCAATCAGCTTTCGACTGACTGTCGCGGAACTGTGGGCCAGAAACAAAATGAAACAGTGTTAGTTTTCCAAGGGAGGAATCAAATAAGGCTGGACATTGCAATACCTGGGGCAGCTTAAAAGAGAATTCTGCTTATATTAACAAACACACATGTTCAGCACCTGAAGGTTGAATAATTTTAATAAAAATAGATTCATAAAACTATCATGTAGCAGAGATACAGCACTATTTGTAGTTGGCATGCTTTGCATTTTACTGACATCATCACACTTAAGAGTACCACAAAAACTGGAACTACCAATAGTCCCCATTTTGCCTAAGATCTTGCCAAGTGGAGGAACGGGGAAAGAACTGAAAAGACTTAGTATGTATTGGGCCCAGACGCTAGAGAAAACACAGATACACACATCTGCCTTTCATTTAAGACTATGCTACAATATTTGTTTTAATTATATAGCTTTTAATATTCCAATTTGACAGTCTAGCCAAATTCCCATCCAATGTGGGATGAACTGGAAACGCCTACCCCTGCCTAAAGAGACAAGGAGTCGAAGAGCCTAGAAGGATATTATGGTCTAGGAATGTTAGGAATCAACGTTAACCCACGCAATAAAATGAGCAGATATGAAACACAGGATCGGAGGTAACGTGAGATATCCATGCTATAACGCTAGCCACAAGGCTCAACGTATCTGTAATGGGACAGGTAGCGGGCACTGAATAGCATCCCCTCAAGAGAATAACTTTAATTTGCTGTTGATTAAGACGAGGTGTCATTCTAGGCTCTGAACAAACACATTAAATATCTTTCGAGTATCTACGAAGATGCAGATGAGTCCTCCCCTCAGGGAGCTTATATATCAATAATAACCTTAATAAATGAGCATTCCAGTGTGGACACGTGTTACGGTGACCACAGACGTCCACAGAGCAGAGAGGAAATAGGACGTGCAAGAGATTCGCGGGCCGGACTGGAAGGCGACCCCTCACACACCTCCAGGTCTTTAAAGCCTGGGGTCGACATTCTCAGGGCCCGCCTAGGAGCTCCAGTCCCCCACGGGTGTCCCCCCCCCCCCCAGACGCCTCTCCGGAGACAACCCACGCCCACCCCGCGGTACACAGGGTAGAGCTCCGGGGAGCAGGGCAGGGTCCCTGGGGGAGCGTCACGGACTGGCGGCCCGCGACCACGCCATGCTCAGTACCTACATACCAAAGCCTGGGAGGTCGACCTGGGCACAGCTTCCTGGCTCTGGGCGGGTCCAGCGCTCGCCGGTTCGGCTTCCGGGTCGGAGGGCGAGCGCGACGATTGGTTCCTGAGTCCGGCCGCGAGATTTGAAAGGCTCGCTGAGGCCATTCAAACGTCCGCCCCGTCTCGTGTCCAGGCTGCGCTGCTCCTCCTTTGGCTCGCACCTATCTGGGCTTCCCGAAGTAGGTGACTCTCGCCTTTTCTCTGCCCTTCGGTCCCATTGCGCGTGGGCATTCAGGCTGCTGCTTCGCGAAGGCGATTCGTGTGACCGCGGGATTGCCTCGTCGCCAGGCAGCGGCGGCGTCTGGGCAGTGGCTGCGCCCTGACTTCGCAGGGTCCTGTGCGGAAGGACCCGGGAGGTCGCGAGGGCTTGACTTGTCTGTAGCTGGGCAGCATGAAGGCCGTCCAGATCTGCTGGCAGTCTGGTCACTCGCCCTGTGCAGATGCCCATGTCCAGAGTGTGTGTCAGCTGTTGCATCCTTCAGAGGGACCTTTCAGGACCGGACTAGGAGAGGAACAGTGCCAGCTGTCATCCCTTTTATGCAGTATTTTCTAAGTGCTGGCAATAAGAAAGTTGTATATTGCTTTGCTTCACTGATGCCTCGGAATTCTTTTTAAGTAGAAATTCCCGTCTCTGTGGACTTGAAGAAATGTATGCTCATCGCGGTGTTCAGCTAATGCATGGATGTGGTAGCAGGGATGCCAGGCCGTGAGGCGCTCTCATTTTAGCTTCCAGGGACAATTCCCAGTCTCAGAATTTCTGCTTTAGTTCACCCTGAATCCAGATTTTGAAACGAGAGTTTATTACTTCTGCCACCTATCTCCATCCTCCCCTCTCCCCTCTTTGCTCACTCCTCTGTATAGGGCCCCTTTACATTCATTTTCCATAGTCAGTGTCTCCTTGATTCTTCACAATGGCTGGGAGATAAGAGCAGAGGGTGAGGCAGCGCCCTGCTTCCAGTGTAATAAAACATTTACCGGGGCAGCCAGGTCCAGAACGAATCTAGGCTTAGGCAGCCGGGGGAGAGCTGGGGCGACAGTAGAGGTTGGCAGGCCAGCTGCAGGGCCTATTTGTGACTAGCCGGTTTCAGAGCTAAACATTGCTTTTACATGTTTAAACGGTCGGCAAAAAAAATTGAAGGAGAAAATTTTGTGACTTCTGAAGATTATATAAAACAGGTTTTGGTGTCCAAAAATAAAAGAAATTTTAATGGGGTCCAGCTATGTTTATTTGTCTATGCATTATTCCTGGCTACCTTGCTATGACAAGGTCAAGGAACGTGGTTGTGAAACAGATTGTATGGCCTGAATGTCTCACATATTTAGTGTTCCCCTCCTTCCAAAAAGTAATAGCCTCCTAGATGAGACTTTTGGCTTTCTGACAGTGGTTATAAGGCTCTTTCAATTTTAACTCAAAACAACTTAAAAACCCATGATGCACGATCATAACTTGTGCTTGGCATTGCTATAAAAGTATTAGATGTAGTTGTGTCTTTTACTTCTCCCAAAACTATGGAAGGTAGGAACTTTTTGTGTTTTCGCTGCAAGGAGGTTGGGGCATAGAGAAGTGGTATAAGTTGCTAAGATCTCATAACTTCATAGACGATAGAGTCAGAGATTCGATCTAGTTCTGGGTGATTTTGATAGAAAGCTAAATCTTAAAGTAATACCAACAGGTAGTCTTCTACCAAAAATTTATTTCAGGCAAACTAATCATATCACTGATGATAGCTCATGTTTTTATCACTTCTTCACTTTCTGTTTTTTAAGAGATACGTGTGTTATTTTTAAGAGGAGGGAAGCTCCCAGCAATGAAGATTACTGGTTATGGTCATCTGCTGTCTGTTTAAATTGCATCGCAGATTATAATTATTGTTTCACAAGTCGGGCAGGTCTGAGCTACCCACGTCTGTATTGCTGCACTAGTCACAGCCAGGTCACAAGATGACGTAGATACCCATTGAGGCATGAATAGTGGGGAGGTGGCTCAGTAGGTGAAGCCCCTGTTGGACAGTATGGGGACCAGCCTTTAAATCCTGAGGACAGAAAGAAGTGCCGGAGTACAGTCCAGTGTGCAGGAGGCAGAGACGAGAGATCCCTGGAGCAAGCTGGCTAGCCAGACTAGCTAATGTGGCGAGCTCCTGGTTCAGCAAGGGATGGTTCCGTAATGGATGAGGTGGACAGCAGTAGGGGAGAAGCTCCCAGTGTCACTCTTGGGCCTCTGTACACATGTGCTTACACGTAAGTTATATCACACGTGCGCGCGCACGCCCGCACGCATGCGCGCACACGGCATTTAAGAAAGGGTAAGTTCCATCAAGAAGAACAAAAACAGAAGAGGGACTTTGCTGGTTTGGTATCTAAAATGTTCACACCGCGCCAGATTATTTTGAATGTTGTTTGTGTGCATCCAGGAGAAGTTATGAAATACAGTGATTTAAATGCCAGGTTTTAGGATTACAAATTTTGGATTTATGCGTTTCGGCTATACGCTAGCATTATGTCGTTGGACATCAGTTTCTTCCTGTGTCAAATGCAGATAGTTGTAGACTGACATCATTAGGACACCTGAAAATTGAACAAAGTAATCAATGTCAAACATTTGAAAAGGATTGGCGTTGGGTAGCTTCATGTGTTAGAGAAAATATTGATTATCCATTTGCTGTGTAACAAAACACCAATACCATGGTCACTGTAAAATAACCAAGCATTTGCTTCAGATTCTGTGGGCCGGCAGTTTGGGCTGGATCGGGCGATTCCTCTGCTTGCCTGGACAGAGATGACTCACGTGGCTGAGGTTCACCTTCCGTATTGACTGGGGTCTCCCTAGAATACGCTGTCCTCTTTCGTGTCTGCGGAGTTGGGGTAGGTTGTCAGCTCTCTCTCGTGTCCTTTGCAGTTAGCTGGGTTTGGTACAGCAGGCCCAGGACAGCAAGCAGTGAGGGCTCCCCAAGACTGGCAGTTTGCTAGGAGGACCGGGAGCGTCAGCATGTGGGTGTAGCTGTGTACGTGATAGCAAAGATAAGATAGCGTCGGTGATGGGGAAAGGCACGGGAATGAAGTCCGGGGAGACCAGATATGGGCTTCTGAATGTCCTCTCCATAGAGTCACAAAGTCTTCCGTGTCGTCTACACGGAAAGTTATTAGAAACTCTGCCAGACTTTACTGGACTCAGGTAAGCCTGTCCAACGTGCATCAAAAACGCCAGACCCAGAAGGAAATCAGGTGTTCATCACAGAGAGTAGAAAAACAGCTCAGCGCAGTCAAGCACTCTTAATCAAAACTCGACTGTTTAAACTCTTGCACAAACCTCTTAAGGTGTGTCCTTAGAATTCTCCTGATCTCGTCGTCTTCCAGTCACATCAGGTCATAGCTGTTCCAGATTCTGACGGGCAGAAAAGTGAGCCACTCTGGGGACACTGCAGAAATGAGCCCCCCCTCCAGTTCTCCACTTATAGTGCCATTTTTCTTAGAACAGCTATCTTAAAATACAGATGTAATTATTGGTGTCTATGTCTATAATTATAAATTTGCAGAATTTGCATGTCTGTTTTTTGTGAATTTAAAATTGGAGGTTGGATTTTTGTTATTTCAAAAGATTTGGCTTAAGGAAACTAGAGGAAAATATGATTGGGCAGAAATTGTATTCTGTTTTCCTAAATTTAATTAAAAGCAATCTTGGTAAATATGAAATGACCCCTTGTTCACTACTTTTTTTTTTTCTAACCATGCTTTCTTCCACATGTTAAATGTTAATTTCCAATTACAACAAGTCACTTTAACATTGTATTCTGTTCTCCTTTAAGAGCATGTCTGTCTTGGACATGATTAAAGAGTTTAGGAGGAATTGGCGTGCTCTCTGTTCCTCTGAAAGAACGACTTTATGTGGTCCAGACTCCATGCTCCTGGCGCTGCAGCTTTCCATGGCCGAGAACAACAAGCAGGTTAGCAGACTATATTTAGTTCAACTTTTAAAACCTGAATTTTACTCGCTGCCTGTTTTAATAAGCTTGAGCTTAAGCACATCACTTTCTTTGCAGTATTTGCCCTCCTGTAATAGGCTGTTCCAGAAAAATGATTTATTAAATTATTTCATGTGTATAATTTGAACATGGAATGTGTACATTTGATATTTAATGAAAAAGTCATAAAGATTACATTTGCAACTCTTATGCATATATATATATATATTCCTATTTAATATTGTTCCTTTTTTTCCTAAAAGAAACTCTAGAGGAGCACATATAATTTTATTCAATATATTTTATGTCTAGTCTTAGCACTGTTGTGTGAGTTATGTTTTCTTAATCAGTTTATGGCTGAAATAAAAATAGGATGCTTACCTTATTTTCCTGCCACTGTGATCAACAGCTGAGGAAGGAGACGGAGACATGAACTTACCGTGGCTCATGGTTTTTCAGGTCCTACTTCAGTCACTTGGCCCGTTACTTCACGGTACATGGTCTGGAATAGCATCCCGACAGTGAGACTCTGTAACAGCTGCTCCTCAACTTGTGATGGGCAGGAGGCAGAGAGAAAGGGACCTTGGATGGAGTCTAGCCTTCCTATTGTGCCCCCAGTGACTTGCTTCCTCCATCTTGGCCCCGTCTCCTAAAGTTTCTAGCATCTTCCAAAGTAGTGTCCCATATTGGAAGCCAGGTGTTCAGTGCATAAATCTATGGGAAACATTTCCTCTTCAAATTCTAACAGTCTTGCCTTTGTATGGAGAGTTGCAAGTTTTCCCTATTTCAACCAGTATATAGATAATTTCAACACTGACATGCCAAGGTGGATGAGGTGAAATCCGAAAACCTCTTCCCTAGATTAAGAGCATCAGGCAGTCAAAGACTTTTGAGAGAGGGACCATCAATTTTCTTCAGAGGCGAGCTTCTGCATAGCTTGTTCTATACCAAGTGGCTCTCCCTGAACACATGCACACTCAAACAATACTAAATGGATTTATTAGGCTGTGTATACATGTGTGTGTTATCTTTGGGTTTCTATTGCTGCAATGAAACACCATGGTCAAAAAGCAAGTTGGGGAGGAAAGGGTTTATTTGGCTTATATTTCTATATTGTTACAGATTATTGAAGGAAGTCAGGGCAGGATCCTGGAAGCAGGAGCTGATGCAGAGGCCATGGAGGGTGCTGCTTAGTGACTTGCTTCCCCTGGCTTGCTCAGCCTGCGTTCTTATGGAACCTAAGACCAGCAGCCCAGGTGTGGAATTCCCCACAATTGGCTGGGCCCTCTCCCATCAGTCACTAAGTAAGGAAATGCCTGTCAACTGGATCTTAGGGAGACATTTTCTCTGTTGAGGTTCCCTCAGATAACTGTAGTTTGTGTGTCAAGTTGACAGTCAACTAGCCAGCTCTTATGCACACGAAACAATAATAAAGATGAGATCATGAATTTGGGGGTGCACTGGAGGAGTTAGGGCAGGCATAATGTACATGTAGTATTTATATATGACATTCTCAAAAAGAGGTGTAATTCTAACACTTCTCATTTCATTCTTGTGAAATATGACCCATGTCCATAAGAGAACTAAAGAACTGGACAGTTTGAACTTGCTTCGTACATTATTCAGCTGGCTGTTTTCATAGCAAGCAAAACATTGTCTGAATCATAGAATATTCTGTCTTGATTGGCACCTAATGAAAAACTAATGTCAGGAATGCATTTTTATTTGGCTTTAAAACAGTTTTTTTTTTTACAGTCCCGATATGAACACTTTTAATCTAGTAATAGACAAGATCATGAGCTTGCATAATTTTACTTCAACTATCTCTAGTCAACAGAATGAGAATAAGTTGTATGTTTACTTTAGTGAGGAAAACTTATTTTTTTCTAAGTATAAAGGATTGTCATACTAGTAATAATTTTAGAAATTTCTGAGAAAAAAAATTTAGTGTTGAAACTCACTGAATTTGTTTTATATTACTTAAAGTGTATTTACGATTATAACCTTTAAGGGAGTAGGAAGTATTAAAATATCTCATTTTTGATATGGTGCTGGGAAGTTATCTGACTTATGTTTGGGTTGTGGTAAACCTTGAGAGTTAATGGTAGGGGCCATTGAGTAGTTAGCTTCATATATTACGGTTGACTTCAATATTTGTGATATGGCAGGCCTCTATTCTAAGAAAATAGGGCTAATTTATTGTTTCAGTATGAGTAAATAAACAATTAAGTTTTAAAAGACATTTTAATCATGTTTTAAATCTGGATCTCAAATAAATAATAAAAGATAAATAAATAATAAATAATAAAAGATAAAGATATAGATTTTTAATAATTCAAGTATATATAAGAATGTATGTTTCAAATATATTGATTGCTCTGAATTATTCTTGATTAAGTAAGATTTAGTCCCAGACAACAACAGTTGCTAACTATGTCATTACTATCCACCTTGGAAAGGAACTAGAGTAAGTCTTAGTGTGAGCAGAAGCTGGAAGAAACTTCACCGTGGAAGCCCGCACGTGTTACATTTCACAGACCCACATATGGATACCCAAACATATTTGTTATTCATGCTGAACTGAAAATGAGAAGTCAGAACTTTTTAATGAGTCAAGGCTGGTGTTTTTGGGAGGCGCCATTGTTAATATCTTGCATATTATGTGGAGAAAATGTATTGAATATAGAGCAAGCCTTTTGCTTGTCCACTGAAAATGTATCACATGGCTGCCCAAGGAGACACTTGAAGGAAAGCTGTATACGAGGTGACTATTGACCTGCACCTGTAGGCAGTGCTGTTGGGTCTCTTGTCAACTGCATGTCAGGGTAGTCAGATCACTAGCTTTTGATTTCTTTCATCTATATGAAACAGAAGCCAAAAAGTAAAAGAATAAATTTGCATCTGAGTGCTCATAGAAGCATAACTTCATTTTTAGTACTTAGTTATTATAATTTAGTGTATTTAGGACCAGGGAAAAAACAAAAATCTTTCCAGACCCTGAGTTTTGCACTGATCCTTTTCTTTCTCTGTAATAACAAGACATAGGTCATAACAATGGTGACCTGAACACTGTGGTTGAGTTTTAAAGCCAGCACTTGGAATATATGTTGTTGTGTGGGATTCCTCATGGCACTGGGGATATAGACAAGAGATTGAAACACTTTAGCTCAGCGCAGTTGCTTGTGCACCCATCCTTTTACTGTGGGTAAAAGATGCAGTGGAGTTTGAAGGTCGAACCATGGATTATGCACTTAAAAAATTTTTATTTTATTTTTTGTTTTGTTTTGTCTTTCAAGACAGGATTTCTTCTGTGTTCCTCTGCAACTTGCTCTGTAGACTAGGCTAACTTCGAACCCAGAGCTTCTGCTGTCTCTGCCTTCCAAGTGTCGGGACTAAAGGTGTGCTTCACCATGCCCGACCCCATTCACCATATTTTTTTATTTGCAGACTTGCCTGCTGTATATATTTTATCAACTTCTCAAAACTTTATGCTTACTATAAACACATGCTATTTGTATTTCTCTTATCAGTTATAAGCCACTAGATAAATACGTCTAAGTATTAAGCACTCGAATTTATCATTTTCTTCCTTCCTTTCTTCCTTCCTTCCTTTCTTTCTTTCTTTCTTTTTCTTTTTTCATCTCCTTCAGCACAGTGGAGAATTTACAGTCTCTCTCAGTGACGTCTTACTGACTTGGAAATACTTCTTACATGAAAAACTGAGCTTGCCCACTGAGAGCATGAAAGCGGTTGACCACTATGAAGACATTAAGAAAACATACGATGATTTCTTGAAGAATAGTAATATGCTAGATCTGATTGATGTCTATAAGAAATGTAGCAACTTGGCCTCCAGTTGTGAGAATACCATGATATCCTCTGTAAGTATTTTAAAAATAATTCTACTCTAATCAAATTAAAGTTCGGCTCTATTACATTTATTTTACAGTATAGAGTTACTAGTTTAAAAAATATGGTGGAAGGCAGAGGCTGTAGTCTTTGTTTTCAGTAGTAATGTACTGGGTAGAAGCAAAAGATAGAATAAGTTGATTTATTTTTTTTAACTTTTTAAATCCTATTAAAAATGGAAAGATACCTGAAGGCTAGTTTTTACTTGAAAGAAATATTTTTGATAAGTTTTGTTGGTCTTGTGATATTGTTATTTAATATAAGAAAAATCTTCTTTTTTTTTTTTTTTTTTTTTTTGGTTTTTCGAGACAGGGTTTCTCTGTGGCTTTGGAGCCTGTCCTGGAACTAGCTCTTGTAGACCAGGCTGGTCTCGAACTCACAGAGATCCGCCTGCCTCTGCCTCCCGAGTGCTGGGATTAAAGGCGTGCGCCACCATCGCCCGGCAAGAAAAATCTTCTTAATGTATAAAAATTTGACAAAGAAATTAAGTTCCAAATGTCAGGTTTCTATCGAATTAGATCAAAAATTGCCTGTCCACAACTTTTCTCTTCCTTGTTGAATGTACATTTATTTATTTGGTGTGTATTGTATAAAGTGATTGTTTTAATATCTTTTTTTAGACAGACATGTGTATATCACTTAGATAATAGAATGATATAATGTCTATGAGGTAATAGGCTTCATTGTTTGAGCATATTTATTTTTAATCAAGTATACGTTTAGAAGCTATAGTGTCCCTTAGATTAGTTTGTATTAGAATTGATTAACAGTTTTAGAATCTGTTTGTCTATGTGCAGGTTTTATTTTTTGAGTATTGAAAGTACTTTAATATTTTCTGTGTGCAAATAAAGAAGTAAAGGTTGATAATGGCAGAGTAATTATAGCTGGACTTAGGAACTATTCACTGTATCTCATATGATAATTGGGAGTAGGATTTAAGTTCATTGTAATAGAAATCTGTACTATAAAATGTACTTAAAGAAAGTAGTTCGTTTCGCTGCCCTATAAATGGCCAGAGGTAGCTGTTGAGGTTCCAACCGCCGCCGTGTTCCTTGTAGGAGGCGGTAGGGCTGGTGGATGGCCATGCTCTTCTTTTAAGGTAAACAACTCTGTTATTCAGTCTCATTGCTTGCAGCTTGGTTGAAGGGCTGTGGTCTTTATTCAGAGTAGAAGGTGCCAAGGTGACAGCTACCATACTTTAAGCAAGAGTGGACATTGGGCAGCTTGTGGCCTTTTCTCAATTCGTGCATTCTACTAACTTCTGCCCTGTTATAGCTTCTTCAAGCGCACATCTTCTTTGGTGTCTACATGTAACACCTTGGAAGATGACTTTGTAGATTTTCCTGCTTTTAAGGCTGATTTTTGATTAGCTCTCCATAGGTAATGTATAGAGCTAGTCATATTAAACACTGAGCTGTAGAAATGACAACCGTGGCATGTCTGATACCTTGGTCACGTTATCCCCCCCCTTGCTTTCTCCTCCTTGGTTTCTCTCCCTCAGGTCCACGTTGTGTGGAGACCTGTAACGCTTCTTTGCAGGCTAGATATATGGGAGATTGTCTGCAAATGTTAATGTGTCTCTGGAGGACACCAAAAATTAGCCAAAGCTGCCAAGAGGTAGCTCATGAAGAAAACTCTGGAATTCTAAAGCTCAGTCTCTGATATTTAGGTTTTCTCCAAGGAACTTTCCCCTAACAACAAAACTATACAGCAAAACATAATTTGGGTTGACTTTTTTTTTTATTTTTAACCAAAGTGTGTTAAATGTAACCCTAATTAATTTGTATTGTGTCTTTAAAGTTACATATCAGAATACTCCAAATGGTCCTGATTTTTATGCTCTTGAATCTTCATGGTCTTCATAAGGTTACTTTGTTTCTTATTTGTTGGAGCTGAAGTAATGCAGAGATTATTGGGAATTAAGATAAAGATGAGATAGTTCTGGGAAGGTGGTAACTTGAACCTTTACTCCCTCGTTTATTTCCTCTCCATCCGGTAGCACAGAAGGCTTTGGATTCTAGCTGGAATATCAAGGAGAGAGAGCTGGGACAGATTGGGTTTTTCATGAAGTTAAAGTATGTGGACCGCCATATCAGACGCTATGACCAGCTGAAGTGTAGCTCTCAGAAGAACTTAGGCCCAGAGATCTGTGGATCCCCTGGGCAAGATCAACAGTTGCTATCTGTGGGTGGGCAGGGTGTCTAACAAAGAAGACGTTTGCTGGCGGCATCTTGTGAGTGACGTCAGCAAGGGCCAGCACAAGCTTGCGCACGCTCCAACTGTCGAGGCTGCTTAGAAGGCACTAACGTTGAACTCTGGGTCCAAGAGCTCTTTTATCCTGATGAGGCCACGCTCAAGACAACACAGGACTCCTGAGGAAGCTACCCTTAGCTGTGGCCAGAGACCGGCGGGCGCACTGAACCTTTGTGAACAGAGTGTGGAAGGCGGACTCCTGATGTCTTCATGCCTTTCCCAGGGCACTCGCATCCACGCGGCTGCAGTCAACGCCGCAGCCGCCTCTCGGAAACGGAAGCCGATTTCCAGGGCTTCCAAGCGGCCCTGTGGGTGGTTAAGGCCCTGCCAGGATCTCTCTGCTCCCGCGGAAGAAGCTTCTGTGTCAGCCCCCTCGACCCAGCGCCCTCGGCAGAAGCAACAGTCTCTTGCAGCCATGTCTGAGAGCTCAACATTTCCCAAGCTTTTCCACAAAACCCGCAGCGGGAGACGAGACCCGAGGAAGATGGCAGCCGCCATGGAGCGGGTGAAGCAGTGGGAATTTCGCCTGCTTCAGAACCTCGAGGAGGCCTCGCAGCACCACCTCACCATCGAAACCGAGAATAAGAGACCTGTGAGCCAGGGGCTTCAGTTCAGTGCAGAAGACCCGCCAGGAGCCAGCTCCGATCTCCACACAGGGCACGGACTTTTGTCATTGTGGACACATGTCCACTAAATACGAAGCTGGCATTACTCTTATAAATGATTGTACCACTCACTTTATCCAAAACACTTGTTCTTTTATTGTAAAACCGTTAAGCACCCTAACCTGCCGACCCCATCCTTCCTCTCCTCTTTCCCTCAGCCCCTCTTCAGGGGTAGGGGCACGGGTGCCGGCTCTTCTCTGTGATGCTAGAATAGACGCAGAAAACACCGTGACTGGGAGACACTGAAAACTTTGGAAGAACAACGTCCACTAGATGCCAAGGGCATATATGGTCTAGGACGTTCCAGGGGCAGGAGAGGTTTATTTTTAAACTTCAGATAGGGCCGGGCGGTGGTGGCGCACGCCTTTAATCCCAGCACTCGGGAGGCAGAGGCAGGCGGATCTCTGTGAGTTCGAGGCCAGCCTGGTCTACAAGAGCTAGTTCCAGGACAGGAACCAAAAGCTACAGAGAAACCCTGTCTCGAAAAAAAAAAAAAAAAAAAAAAAAAAAACTTCAGATAGGGCAGAAAGCTCGTATCAGGTTAGAGGCATGTTATGAAGGGTTACCGACATTGGGAGACCCAGGAAATCCACCACCCACTAGAACAGCATTTCCGCTGCTCCAGTCCTGTGTGTGGTGGGAACTCACTGTGTAAGATGCCTCAGCATTTGGGACCTTTATGAACTTCCTCCTGTGTGAACGACTGCTCAGGTTATAAAAGTGATAGAAGTCTTTTAACTTGTCAAATAAAGCATAAAAATATAAAGACACAAAAACTTACTATGTAATGACATAAAGACAAATACTTCCAAGTAATTCCTTCTAATTTTTATGAAAAATAAACTGTTTTCTTGACAACTCAGAGAAAAATATGAGGAAAGATTTCTCAATACAGAAGACTTACTGACACAAAAATTAATATTCTAACAAACAGTAAACTTAAAGAACTTAGAGCTACAGGTCCTGACATGAAGATGCTAGTAGTCCCAGAAGGGAAAACACCTGAGGGTATAACTAAATAAAAATGTATATGTCATAATAAATAGTACTGTTAACTGAAGAGAAATCTTAAGTTCTAGGCTATATTAATGAGATATGAGCTGATAAAATTCTTGTATTCTTAAATATTATAAATTTATTTAGTTATAAGTTATTATTGAATTATAATTTAGTTATGTTATGAGCAAAAGATTAAATAGAATGTTCCTTCCCACCCATAGTAATTTTTTTTTATCATTCATTTAAAGGGGTTTGTGAGAATATGCAAAAGTATGCAGAGGAAAATGTTATGCTTATTTATGATTATCCACAAATGTCAAGCAATACTTTGTCCTGGAGCATCCGTGACACTCACTGTGCAGAATCTTATATAACATACTGTCCTGATTCCTGTGACCTTCATTATACCGTGTATTGTTTACAGAGCCAGCTCCGGGACTTTCTGTCTGGCACACGGTGCGCAGAACACGATGAGAGTAGTCCTCGGGTACCTGCGTCCCCAGTGCAGCGCAGCCAGGACGATGAGCAGGTACCGGTTCGTTGTCAGTTAACCAGGATGTGACTCCCTCAGATCATCCGTCTGTTGGCTCACTGCGGTTATCCTTGTTTTGTTTTTTTGTTTTTCTTTTTTCCATGTTTTAAAGTTGTTTAAATAAAGCTGAATCTGCAAAGGACAATACATTGGGACTCGCGAAGGTCATTTTAGTTCGCATCTTCTCGGTCTGGTCCGAGGCAGCCAACGGGCACTGAGTGAGTACAGGCACAGCCTAAGTGCCAGAGAGGTGCCTATGTTTCAGATTGTCAGGTTGATTTTTTTTTTAACTTTCTGTTAATTAAAATTCACATCTGCTGTTTTAGATAGTTGATTCTTGAGAGGACGTGCTCCGTAACTGATAATGTTCTTGTGGCTGGGTGTATTGTGCATGCCACTCCAACTAATGAGGTTTATTTGCCCTTAGCTGAGTGTTATACTACGTACCTGTCGCCTCAGCCAACCATGAACTGGGTTTATGAAAGTTTCTATGTTTAATAGAATCACCATGGTGAGAGTTTAAGAATGTTGGCAAAATCAGTAAAATTTTGTTGAATGTGTTTTTGAAATCTACTTTCATGACCGTCTACTCCAGTAAGGTTACCACATTTGATGAGTTTCTCTGGTAAGTTGTCAGGAAGCAGTGCTGAGACTGCTGAAGTCTGGTGCCGAGCAGCTTGCCCCTTACAGAGCAGAGACCCTCGCTGCTTCGCTAAGGCTTGCTCGCTTCCTGGATTTAACAGTGCACTTGGTTTTCCTTCTGTGCTTCCTTTTTCCTGTCTTGTTTAGGGTTACCCAAACCCTGTGCTGTGTGTATGCCTGGAACTCTTGTGTGTGAAAATGAAGGATAAGCCCATGTCTGGTTTCTCTATGATTTCCTAAAGTAGTTACGTGTCTCTGTGGACTGTTTTAGTCTCAAGGATTCCCTAATTTTATTTTTTTCCTTTGCCTACTTAATGCTCTACTGTCCCTAAATTTGTTGTGTCTCTGATTAAAAGCTGGTCTACAAGAGCTAGTTCCAGGACAGGAACCAAAAGCTACGGAGAAACCCTGTCTCGAAAAATTAAAAAAAAAAAAAAAAAAAAAAAAAAAAGCTGTAAGTTAATATTTAGTGTTACTATTTTATAAAAAATACTTTGTGACTGATATGCAGTATTTCGTTTTGCATCACCCTAGGAAACAGAAATTCAGGCTGTCCTGAACTGGCAGATCTCTCTACTATAAAAATTAGTTCCCACTTTGCTGTCATCACCAAACACCTGTGCGAAGGTCCCCTGCGTTGCAGCAGCAATCCTGTCTCCCAGCAACCGTTTACCTAATTAGTTCTTTTAATACATGCCGTGATGATCCTTGCCTGAATCAACTGTTGCTTTTTTTTCCCAGCATTTGTAGAACCCTGAGTTTTTTTGTTTGTGATATCTTCATTAGTCCCCTTCAATCACCAGAGCTTTAACCTGTATCCTTAGGGTCTCAGAAAGGGCTGGGACTTCACTGTATCCATAGGGTCTCAGGAAGGGCTGGGACTTCACTGTATCCATAGGGTCTCAGGAAGGGCTGGGACTTCACTGTATCCATAGGGTCTCAGGAAGGGCTGGGACTTCACTGTATCCTTAGGGTCTCAGAAAGGGCTGGGACTTCACTGTATCCATAGGGTCTCAGAAAGGGCTGGGACTTCACTGTATCCATAGGGTCTCAGGAAGGGCTGGGACTTCACTGTATCCATAGGGTCTCAGGAAGGGCTGGGACTTCACTGTATCCATAGGGTCTCAGGAAGGGCTGGGACTTCACTGTATCCATAGGGTCTCAGGAAGGGCTGGGACTTCACTGTATCCATAGGGTCTCAGGAAGGGCTGGGACTTCACTGTATCCATAGGGTCTCAGGAAGGGCTGGGATTTCACTGTATCCACAGGGTTTCTTTCTTTAGGAAACACTGAGAGTGACTTGAGGTATAGATAAGTGTAGAACAGTGCTTCACCTGTAACTGGACGCCATCCCAAGCCCGTGTGAACCAGTGTGGGCGCACACACACACTCACACACACACAAAATAAAAAATGGTGGTTTCTTTCTTGAGTTATATTTTCTTTTTCTATTTTGTTCCAAGCCTTAGTAAGTATATTCTACTTATTAAGTATATACTTTCTATAATCATAGGCAGTCATCAACAGCTTGCAGCTTTCAACCATCTTTTAGGGTGACAGAGAGCGAGCTTCTATAAAGTCCGATGAAGGCTTCATTTAACACTGTGGACAGGCCAATGTTCCACACTAAGCTTAAGGTTTCAGACTGACCCTGACTTTCAGGAAGCAGATGAAAATGGCAAAACCACCAGTCTGAAGACGACAGTATGGGAAGGACCCGCTGTCCTGAGGAGGCACGCCATCTCTGACACTCCTAAAGCCAGTGTCAGGGAATCAGGCCCTAACGGATCTCTGCTCTTAAGGGAGTTCTTTGCTGATGCAGGAAAGGGGAAGAAGACACAAAAGTGAATATGCCCACATCCCAAGGAATTTGTGTCAAGTGAGAGTCAAGAGTCTCAGGACGAGCAGGAAGGGAGGCTCTCCCGCACATCCGTCAAGTCAACTTTGGAAACATTGTTAGGAATGCATGGGCCCTCTGCCACAGCAGCGAAGGAAGGGTTATGTGTGCTAAACAGACTACTTTTGATAGAACTTGATGTAAAAAATACTTTCGCATACTGTTCAGCCTCCAAAAGTCACACAGTTCACACTGGCGTCTCCAGAACCCTCAGCTGGCTGTGCCTTCTCAGTTTCCACGTGTCCGTGATCCGCAGAGCTGGTTCCGTCCCTGCTGACATCATCTTCCCTCTCTTGAGGATACTTTGTCTCCTTTCTAGGGACCCTTTAGGCTCATGCCTGACTGATAAGGCATTTTTAGAAGTCTGCATACTTAAAATTCTAACGTGACTTTGGGGGGGAGGGGGGATATACCTTGGAGAGGTGTGTTCTGATTGTCAAGTACATTTCTTAACGGCACATCAGAATCTTCTCATGGAACTGTAAGATCACGTTAAGAATACTCTTTATTTTCTTGTTTTATTTTACTCTATTTTCCCCCTAAGTTGTTAAACTGTTGCTTAAACTGACCATTAAGCAAATAAAAAATTGTGTCAGTGTACTGGTTCCAGTCCGGTCATTTGCCGTTATTCACAAGCATTTATGTCTTAGCCAAGGAAAGATTTTAATGAGGAAATCAGGTACATTTTTTGTGGTTGTTAAAAACCTTGATTTCAGATTAAGGCTGGATATTTGCTTCTTAGGATTTGCAGGAGAGTGGAATGAGTGCGAAGCAGTCACAAGTTAATAAAGCTGTCCAGCCTGCAGAAGCTGCAGGTACTTTGTGGTGTGGATAGAATCAGGTATTAAGCCAATAGATGAGTTCTCTCATTTCTTGGTGCTGTGCTAAAGCTTTCGTCTTGGGATTCCCTCAGTTTGGGTCCCTGCTTCTGGATGTCGTAATTGCATTTATGGACTGCTTTTCCAAGGAGCCTTTTAAACACTAACTTGCACACACAAGAGCACAGAAACCATAACTGCCATGTTATCTGACCATAATGAGAGGGAGGCAGGTCCAGCTGCAGCCAGAGTTTCAAGAAGCCCTTCCTCTGTGAGGACTCCAAGATACTTTCCCCAGTGTTTACCCAGCGGCCTGGATCAGAGAAGCGGGATCTGTGAGCCTTAAAGAGCAAGTAGTAGGTGTGGGTGCTTAAAGGTTGGCTTTATATATAATCTTCCTCCCCATCCCTACTTTTTCTTTCCAATTATATCTGTGTGTGTGTGTGTGTGTGTGTGTGTGTGTGCGCACGCGCGTGCAAGCACACATGTATTTAAGTTCACTGAGTCCACATAGTGCCGCCTCCATGAGCACTGTGTAGGAGCATCCACTGGGCATGGGCTGCATCCCTGAGAATGACTCTTTCCAAGCCCTCAGGTGTCGCCAGTAGCTACTCAGCTGGGGTGGAACTTGCATGGGAGTAGCTTCTGCATGCAGCTTCTGCTCTTGATGAAGGCTGCCCTTCTTTATTGTGGTAGGACTCTTGTCAGTCAGGCGGGCAGCTTTAGGAGGGACACACGAGGTATGTGTGTTGGGGGGAGGGAAGGTCCAGCTAGCCAGGGGAGCTGAGGCAGCCCTGTGAGCAGGGCATTAACATCCCTCCCCATACCTCCCTCTCAGGGTTAATCTTTGGGCGCTTTTTTCTTTTGATGTTTTTCTTCCTTTTGTTGTTGTTGTTTGTTTTTGAAAAGGGCCTACTCTGTAGCCCTGGCTAGCCTTGAAAGTCCTGTGAGCCAGGCTTGCCTCCCTCGAATTCAGAGATCTACTTGCTCTCTACATCTAAGTGCTGGGATTAAAGGCGCATGCTACTGCCTGGCCCTAATTTTGTTAACATTTTATCTAAAGTCTATAATTTCAGTAAGCTTACCTATCCTATGAAGTTTTTTTTTTCCTTTATATTTTGTTTTTGTGAGGCATGGTCTCACTGTAGCTCAGGCTGTCCAGGAATTCATTATGTAGTCCAGGCTGCCCTGAAATGCCCAGTAATTCTCCTGCCTCAGCTTCCCAAATGCTGGGAGTTACAGTTGAGCCACCGTGTTGGTTGGGCACTGATTAAGGTGTTTTTTCTTTTTATTAATTATGAGTGCTTCTTAAGTTTTTTTTTGTTTTTTTTTTTTTTTTGGTTTTTTCGAGACAAGGTGTCTCTGTGGTTTTGGAGCCTGTCCTGGAACTAGCTCTGTAGACCAGGCTGGTCTCGAACTCACAGAGATCCGCCTGCCTCTGCCTCCCGAGTGCTGGGATTACAGGCGTGCGCCACCACCGCCCGGCTAGTGCTTCTTAAGTTTAAAAAATTATTTTACATTTGCATATTTAAATAAACCAAAGCTTATCTTTAAATTTTCTTCTAAAATGTACATTAATTTAGGATCTGCTTACTTATTATTTACCAGAAGAGTCTTCCTAATGATTTTGTTTTTTATCTATTCAATTTTCTTTTACAGTTCAACATTTTTAATGTGGAAAGACAGAACAGATACAAATTAATTTAATTGATTTTTATTCCTTCTCTAGCAATTTTATATATGCTCTCTTGATTACTGTTCTATTGCTGCGAAGACGTTCTATGGTCAAGATAACTTATGGGGACTAAACAGTTTTTTTGTTTCAGAGGGTTTGTCCATTACCATCATGGCAGGAAGCATGGCGCTCAGCAGCCATGGCCCGGAGTAGTAACTGGGGGCTTATGTGTTGAGACAACCACCAGGAGGCAGAGAGACAGCTAAATGGCAATAGTATGAGCTTTGGAAGCCTCAAGCCTCCCCCTGCCCCTGTGTCCTCCCCTCCCCACCAGTGGCATACCTCTGCTAACACATAACCCTTCCAAATCATATCCACCAACCAGGGGCCAAGTATTCGAATATATGAGCTGGGGCGGGCTTCTCATCCAAACCCCCAGAAATGCACATGATGCATTTTTATAGTAGTCATTCCTACTCCCCTCTCTTAACCTCCTTTCTCAACATATCCCCCTCCTAATTTCATGCATTTAAAAAATAACCTATTGAGATTAGTTATGGCCGCTTGACTGGTCATGGGTATATGGTTATTTACCAGGGTTCATCTGACCCAGCGGCTGGTACCTGCCGACAGTTCCTCAGCTGGGGCGGGAGTCCTCTGTGTCCCCCCCTTCACGGTACTGGAGTGCTGGGACTGTGGAGATAACCACCGTTCCTGTCAGTGCGCGTGCTCCGAAGATCGCTTCACACTCTTGCCTTCTTCTCAGGCTCCTCCAGTCTTCCCGTTCCCTTTCCTTGGATGCTCCCTGAGCTCTGGGAAAGCATGGGGATGGGGCTGGTACAGCTGTCTCACTTAGGGCCGGGCACTCCCTCATTCTCAGTGCTTCCAGCAGCTGTGAGTCTCTTCACTGGCTGCTGCTGTAAAGAGACACTCGGTGACTCTGGCATATTCAGAGGGTAGTTTGACAACATGACACCGTATGCATGTAGTGAAGCAGCAGAAATAGTTGTCTCCCCAACTCTCTTGACCCTAGTCACGGACTTTTGAACAGGTTTATGGTACCAGGCACAAATTCCCTTCTGTAATAGGGGTCAGAAAGTGCCTGGTCGCACCCTTGATGTTTAACCCACTCTGGTGCCTTGTGCCTCTGGCACATCTTGCCTAGCTTGTCGGTATTGTAGCATCCACATGACTAGCCAGGTAAGACCACTGACAGCCTTCTCCTGCTAGTAGCCTGCCTAGCACTCTCTGGAGCTAGGAAACCTAGCAAGCAGGTCAGTTCTAATTTGATTACTCCATGCCCTGCAACCAAAGCATGCTGTGTCTTCAGCAGCAGGCTCCGTTTATCTACTTCTGGTAGACAACCAGAAACAGTGGTGGTAGCCTGTAAGTTTTGGGAGGTTGGGCCAACAGTCCACAGGGAGACATTCCACCTTTCACACTGGGCTAAGAAAATTGAAAGGAAATACTTTCTTAGAGTTTGGAGATGATACATTGCAGGGCAAATGTATCTGAATTTCCGGTGTTCCTGAAGTACTTATGAATTGAGCTCAGCGCCTGGAAATCTGTTATCTGCGGGAAAGACTGCAGGCGGACGATATGAGAGTGAGAACTAGAAACAAACAAGCCCGGAGCTGTGGGAGGTAGTCATAGTTGCAGGGAAAGGAACACGAAGAGAGTCCATAAAAGGAGTTTGGTTTTGCTGAGATCTAGTTGTTCTTTCTCCCCCACTCCCCCGGATGTGCTTTGGGTGTCAAATCTAAGTTCTCTGCCCCACTCTAGGATTTAAGGATTTTCTCCTATGTTTTGTTCTAAAAGTTGCCTTACTATATTGTACATTTAAGTCTGTGGTCCATTTTGGGTTAGTTTCCATAAAAGGTGTGAGCTTTTGGCTGAGGTTCATTTGTCTTCCTATGGATGTTGGAGATCTGTTGTCCCAGTCCCAGTGATGGCACTGGATTTTGTGTTTCTGTTGCCGAGCTTTGTTCATCTGCTTCTGGATTCTCTTGAGGTTCTCCCGGGTGGTGTATATGTCTTTTTGGAATATACTTCCCCGTCTTGCTTACTATAACTTTGTAGTAATTCTTAAGATTTTTTCCATATATTTAATATGTTTTCATATAACTTATGTATTTCTTAATAAATCTGTTAATGCTCTCAAAGGTCAATGTCAACACTAAGTGTTAATGTTTTCTAAACATTTGTTTTATCTTATTCATTTTGATCTTTAGTTATTTGATAATGTCAGTCACTCTCTAGCAGTTCTCCAGACTTAAGCATTTCATTTGAGCTGTGTGTCTGGTGTTGGGATATAGACTTGGGGTCCAGGGACCAGACTGCTCCCTCTCTAAGGTTCTGGAAATTTTATCTTCAGCCGTTATTTCCTGGCAGGCTTATGCAGACGAATAAGATGAAACCTCAACAGAAAGGCCTCTATGAACTATCTTTTATATCATGTTGAAGAACAATTTTCCATTAATCATTGTTAATATTTTCTTGTTATTAAGTTCATTACTGTAAGAAAATTCAAGTTATCTAACTTGGCCATTCTTTTTGCCTAAAGAATGAGATGCAGAATTGTGATTACAGATTCTGTGTATTCTTCCTGAATATAGAAAAGAGGTTTAGAACAACTGAAATAAAGAAAATAACGGAATACTTTACTGTACAGGTACGGATACTGGTGAAGAAAATTTTCTTTTCCTATTTGGGCCTGCTAGTGAATTCAAAGAATGACTTGGCTCTGGCTCAGGTTCTCAACATCCCTGATCGAGGACTGGGGAGAGAGGCCTTCACCACCTTGAAGCATGCTGCTCGAGAGAAACAGCTGTCCATGTTTTTGGTATGGATGCTTACACTTTCAGGACTGTTTATAACTCCGTGAGCAGTGACCTTTAATGTAGATTTCTTGTAATTATAATGAAACAATTTTTTAAGTAGTTAATTTATATTTTACCTCTGCATTTGAAAATCCATTGCTTTTTTTTTTTTTTTATCTTTTCCTGTGTCTTCCAAGTTTAGCAAAGGGGGATTTCTCTTTAGCAGTATTCTCTACATAATTATATATTATAGGCTGTTAGTCCTAATAAATAAATATACAATCTTCCTCTTCTTCCTTCTTTCTTTCCTTTCCCTTTCTTTTCTTTTCTTTTCTTTTCTTTTCTTTTCTTTTCTTTTCTTTGTGGTGCTTTACTATGCGGCCCAAGTTGCCCTCAGACTCTTAGTCCCCTTGCCTCTGTCTCACAAGTGGTGATACATGATTAACGTGTATCTCCGTGCCTGGCTTTGATAAACTCTTCTTGAGTAAGTGTTTCCAATGGTAGAGTCTTCAGACATTGGTTGCACACTGCATATGTGCATATCAAGGGCCGTGGGAAGTCCTTCACTGAAGTAGCACCCTCATGTCTTACCAACAGCCTTGTTATTTCATCTGTTGCTCTTCCTCAAACCATTGACCCCAGAACTTCCCCACAAATTACTGATATTCCATAATGTGCCTTTCTTAGGATACTTTGGGAGATACTGCTTGAGAACATGGTATCTTTTTGATGGAGATGTTCTTGGCGATAGCTATCAAATATGCATTTTTCTCAGTGTAAAGATAGGACTTTTACCTGCTTATCCTGGATGTAAAAACTTGCTGGAATCCAGTGATTATCCAGTACAAGTCTTGTTTCTCAGCAAAGGTGAAGTGAAGGTTTGGGCCCATGTAAAACAGAGTCATTGGCATTGAAAGTGAATTCTTCTACGTGATGATTTCAATAGCCAATTAGCCGTATAAGTGAAACTGTATTCTAAGCAAAGTCTGAATAGTAGTCATCTGCTCTTAAGGTGCAGCTATTCTTCCATCCTTGCTCCAACATTGCCCAGCATCTCAGTCTCACCTGCAGTCCACAGGGCACTCTTTCCTGTGATTATTTGCTCCTCAAAATGTGACATGATCCATAAAATGTTCCTCAATGTAACCATATACCTAGGATTATATAAATGTTCCTGGCTTCATTAGCTATATTGTAATTTAACTTCCATCTTCATTCACAGATGGCCACCTCGTTTATTAGAACACTAGAGCTTGGGGGGAAGGGATATGCCCCGTCCCCATCCGATCCTCTGCGGGCACATGTAAAAGGGCTTTCTGACTTCATCAATTTCATTGACAAGTTGGATGAAATTCTTGGAGAAATAAGAAATCCAAGGTAATAATTTATAAATTATAAATGTTTGTTGTTAATCTGTTTTAAAAGTTTACAGAATCAGAGGTAGGAATGAAGGGAATATTGAAATCACCAAACATCAGTATGAAGCATAGGTAAAGAAACAAAATATCAAACTAAATAAATCATAGCTGCATAACCTTCCTCTCCAAATTTCTGCCTTGCTATGATACTATTTTTTTGTGTGTGGAAGCTAAAAGTTGTGTTCAAACTAAATTTGTTTAGTGAAGATGATTATTATTTAACTCTATATATGGAAGAGACAAATTTTTCAGAACTGGAGGTGACCAAGTAATTTCTTTAAAGTGTTTATACTTAGCAGTAAAGGAAACCAATACCAAGAATGAAGAGGGAAATTGGGTTTTTCTATTTTTTCTTTTCTTTCTTTCTTTCTTTCTTTTTTTTTTTTGTATTTTTTGTATTTTTGTATTTTTCAAGACAGTGTTTCTCTGTGTAATAGTCCTGGCTGTCTTGGAACTTGCTTTGTAGACCAGGCTGGCCTCGAGCTCACAGAGATCCGCCTATCTCTGCCTCCTGAGTACTGGGCTTCAAAATGTGCACCACCACCACTAGACTATTTTTTAGTTTTTTTTTTCCATCTGCAAATCTTTTATCTAGTATTTGTTTTATGTGATATTAGAGGTAAACATTCTTTTTAAATTTAATAGACTTCCATTTATAGTGCAGATATGTTAGCTGTTTGGTTTGTAATAATTTTAGGGGGACTGGGCTAGACCTGTTAAAAATTGTGAATTGCTATCATTTTGATTGGTGCGCCACCATAGCATTGTTCAAATAAAGTAGCTGATACTTACTGAACATTTTATTTTATTGAACATTGTACTGAACTTTTTTGTGTAGATTATTACGTGATCAGTATAAGGTCTCACATGGTAGATAACATTACTATCCCTGGTTTAGAGATGAGGTGACCGAAGCATTGGGATCAGTCCATTTACCCTGGATGGCATAGTCAGTTAACAGCAGAGCTTGGCCTTGGATTAGTCCAGTCACGGATAGACATTTGCAGCAGGCTTTCTTTGACCCCAGCCAGCTCCCGAATCAAGACATGGAGACTTTTTATCAGTCCCCTTAGCTCTTAAAACTTAAATTAACCAGTTTCTCTTCATCCACGCTTCGCCTCAGGGATTTTTATCTTTCTTTCATTTTGTATGCTGTACTCCGTGTCTGTCTTTCTGGCAGCTGCCTGGCTGGCTGGCCCCAAGCATCTCCATCATTTTCTCTCTCTCTCTCTCTCTCTCTCTCTCTCTCTCTCTCTGTCTCTCTCTCTGTCTCTCTCTCTCTCTCTGTCTTCTCTCTCTCTCTCTCTCTGTCTCTCTCTCTCTCTCTCTCTGTCTCTCTCTCTCTCTGTCCTCTCTCTCTCTCTCTCTCTCTCTGTCTGTCTCTCTCTCTGTCTCTCTCTGTCTCTCTCTCTGTCTTCTCTCTCTCTCTCTCTCTCTCTCTCTCACCCTCTCACCTAGATTCCTCCTCAAACTTATTCTCTCTGCCTGCCAGCCCCTCCTATCCCTCTACTGCCTTGCTATTGGCCATTCAGCTTTTTATTAAACCAATCAGGTGCCTTAGGCAGTCAACACATCTCTATGTAATTAAACAAAGGCAGCAATCTTTACTTAAGTAAACAAATGTAGCCCACCTTTACATAGTTAATATTTCTCAGCAGACTTGCTTTTATGTCATCCTGAGAAACATCTTCCCAAGAATCAAATTCCATATTTCTTTTCTTTTTTACTTAATGTACGTGTAAGCCTGTGTGGATGGAATGAATCACATGCGTGTCATGACATGGGAATAGAGGCCAGAGGACAACCGACAAGAGTTGGTCCTCCAACATGTGGGTCCCAGGGATTGAACTCTGTAGTGATATTTCTTTCACTTTTTAATAAATAAAGCTTGCCTGAAGATCAGAGAGTAGAACAGCCACCCTGGTCAGCCTTGGACACCTGTAATCCCAGTAGCCGCCCTGTTCACCATAGAAGCTGAGTGGTGGTGGTGCACGCCTTTAATCCCAGCCCTAGAGAGGATATAAAACAGGAGGAGACAGCTCTCATCTCAGTCTCATTCTGAGATTCCTGGAGGCAGGGTCGCCATTTTTGGTCTGAGGTAGAAGTAAGAGCCAGTGGCTGGCTGCTTTGCTTTTATGTTCTTCTGGTTGAACCCCAATATCTGGGTTTTTATTATTTGTGCTACAGAACTCAGGTTGTCCAGCTTGGCAGCAAACATCTGTACCCACTGAGCCAACCCCAAATTCCATGCTTTAAAGGATTTTGTTCTGAATCACATTGTATCTCATATGGGTATCTATAATGTAAGAGCAGGAATGCGGATGTGAGCAGCCAAGAGTAAAAAGGAAGTGAGGCCATAGTGTGAAGCCTCAAGACCTGCCCCAGTGAACCTCCTCCTCAGAGAGGTTTGCAGCTTTCCCAAAAAGCTCCACCAGGTGGGAACCAAGTGTTCAAATGTGAACCTAAGAGATATTTCACTTTCAAATTCCCTACTTTTTTCTTTTGATTTGTTTCCTATTTATTATTCATCAATTAGTTATCAAGCTTGACAAATTTTGTGTTAATATTGGTTTCTCTACCAAATCATCCCTTGCCCTTGAAGACAGAGTCTCTGCCACCGTTTACTCCGCACCTTTGCCTGCCTCAGAGTGGTCGCGGGCACCTTCATCAGTACCTCGCGGGTTTTCCTTGCCCCCGCCCTGTCTTCTGGACCTCCTGGCTCTGCTTTCCATTGGTGAGCTCTTCTCGCTCAGACAGCTTTATTCTTAAAAGCCAACACGTGGACAAGGGCGTGGCTCAGCAGATGAGGGCACCTGCTGGGAACACCTGGTGACCAAGTTCTGTTCTTGCCCCTGAGAGTAGGAGAGAGTCGATTCCTGGAAGGTGTCTTCGGAGTGCTGAGTGCTGCCGCCCCTCCTGGAACAAGAATAAAAGAAGAAGAAAATAAAAGCCAATGGGGAGCAAACACATTTTTTTTTCTCACTTTTGGCTTTTTATGGTCTTACCATATTTTGTCATTCTAAGATTGTTAGTCATATTTAACTTCAGCTGGGTGTGGTGACTCACACCCGTTTCAAGCACTTAGGAGGCTGAGAGAAGAAAATTGCTTCAGTTCAAGCCAGGGCTCCAGTGTGAGACCTTCCCTCAAGATGAAAAAAAAAAAAAAAAAAAAGCAAGAGGAATTTAACATTTGTATTTGCTTTCTACGAGTTTCTGGTTAGAGTTTTGTTTGGGCCTGTATTCTTGGAAGGTATGGTGATTCCAACCGTCCTTTCCTTTTTAAATGAGGCTCTGTAAAGCCGATAAGCAGCCTTGTGTACTGGGCTTAATTACAGCACTGTGGTCAGTTGGCCCTTTTGTTAGGGACTGAACTCTGCAGACCTCAGATAACTGCATCATCTCTTGTGTTTTTCCAAATTATCCAGAAGTCCATGCTTTAATCCCCGCAAGCCTAAACTCTGCCCTGTGATGGACGGGCTTGTTGACACCGAGCTGGAGTGTGTAGTGTTATCCCCTGTATGTTCGGGCCTTGCTGGCCCTGGCCCTGGGTCCTCCCTGGCTCGCACTGCGGAGTGATCCTGCCTTCCATACATGGTGGAAGAGGCCCACTAGCTTGACTGCTGAGAATGAGAGAGGGGACCTAGAGTATAAGCACATGTCCAGTTTTCTACACCCACCCTTGGTTGGAAACAGCCCTGCGATGGGGTCTTCAGTTTCTGAGGATCCTTCTGACCAGGCGTCCTGTATTCTCTCCTCACAGTGACTTGCTTTTATCTTTGTTTCTCTTCTGGGTTGTTAGCGCTTGTCTACCTGCCCTGTCTTTACTTTGACGGAATTTCTCTGCTATTACCAGTATTTTTCTTTCCTGTGTGGATTAAAAAAATCTGCTTTGCTCTTTTTTGACTTGAGTAAAGTTTGGGAAGAAAGCTAAGACAAATGCATACATTCAGTTCAATGAATCTGTTAAAATTTCAGCTGACTATATGGTTGGGGAAACTGACTAAGTGGTTGGAAATGGAATTGTTTATAGGCACCCAATATGAGAGAGTATATTTCGTCAACTTGAGCAGCCTTTTATTTGAGGTGTTCATTTTGGTCATAACAAATACTCTATCTTTTGAGGAAGGCACTAAGGAAGTCGGCATCTAAATACTATCTTCAAGTGGGAGCTTAAGGAATCCACTTTAACAATCTGGTCTTTTTCTTTTTAGCAGCAAGTATATGTTAATTTTGTAATTCAAAATAGTAAAACTATTAAAAGCTAAAAACGCACCCTGTTTATGAGATGCGTGAGAGACAGTGGGTGTACCTAGGCTGTCCTGGTCTCTGGGAGCTTGTGATAAGGTGTAGAAAGATGCCTGGAAAAGTCTTACAGTTGAGCTTAATCTAAAGGGTGAACGTGCAGTGAGCCAGATGTGGAGGTGTGAATAACCTACCAGACTTCTGCCCCATTGGTCCTTTTGTCTTTAATTTTATACTTTTTCTTGACTTCTTTAGCCATAGTCTATAAAGATAGTAAGACAAACCCAGAAAACTGTGTTTTCTGTCCAGTTCTCCATCCTTTTGCTCAGATTCATGAGAATTTAGTTTTCTTTTTGTCTCCTCCTTTCTATCCTGACATGCATGTCTTCGTAGGCAGTAAACGTCATAAGAGCCTACTGTCCTCACTAATGTGCTGGCCATAGCTGTTGATGCAGAGCTGAGGATAATTTGCTTGTTTACTCTCAAGCGGCTCTCACCGCCCCTCTCTGCTCCTCTGCTCCTCTGCTCGTGCATCCTTACCATCTGGAATGTTTCCACTCCTCATATTTGACCGCTTCTTAGAACTTCTGTGATGTCATCTCTCATCTTCTACCTCTCTAACTTCATACGTGGAAATTCTTATGAATCTCTTCCTTGGGGAAACCCAACCAGTGCCGAGTGAGTTCCCAGGACTTCAAATTTAATGTATGCCAAAATATTAATATTCATCTTCCTCTGAAAAACTGCATGCCACCTGAGTGGATTCACCCTTTCCCCTCCAGTGACCCAAGTCTTATGTCTCTTAAGTCCTTTTCCCTGTCGCGGTCTTAGCTTACTTTTTTTTTTTTTTTTTTTTTTAACATTTTCACATCTTCTCTTGTCTTGTTCCTGTAACTGCTACCTTATTTCTAGTTTTCGCTGTCCTTTTCTTTTTCACCTGAATTGTTCATTCTGCTCCTTGAGCCTGCATTGCTCTATCCTGTTGGTTTCTTGATGCTGGTGTGGTCTTCTCAAAATAGCTTTTGATAGTATCATGATTAAAGACCTTCAACGGTTCCATGCTGGGTACAGGATAAAGCCCCGGAGTTCAACGGTTCCATGCTGGGTACAGGATAAAGCCCTGGAGTCATGGCTGATGTGCACAGTTGTGTATAATTTACCTTCCACCTTTCTCTCCTGTTTCTTTATCCTCTTTGTTTCTTTACTTCACAACTTAAGAGCTAAAGACATGTATCCTCTTGCACCTGGTGAGAAGTTTGTGCTTATCTTATAAAGGAGGCGTTATAATAAACATTGGGTCTAAGGAATATAATGAAAATAGTTGGATAGGAAAGAAGGGGAAAAATGGAAAAATCCAGATTGTCGCTCAGTATCCTTTGCCAGGCCTTCAGGAGGCCTTCTTAGCCAAGCCGGCTGCATTTCTGCACTTTGCCAGTAGGTGCCACCATAAAACGCATGCCACACCTTTACCTGAGAAGTGTCTCCGAAGCTTCAGCTTTTCCAAAGGAGATTCTATTGTTATAAGAATTTCACATTGCTGTACTTAGGCTTACCACACAGCTTTTTAATGCATACCTGTGTTGTATATGGACTAAATATATGGCTACAGAATATTTATTTGGCTGGAAATTACTTGTCTCGTGTATTGTTCGTTATTTTTTTGTTTGAAAAGACTTCAGAAGTATTTTGATACTATTTATGTGTCTTAAATCATAATTTTAAGAATGTTAAAGCAAATAGTTTTCAAATTCTTGAATATATAATGGGAAAGCCTTGTATTTTGTTTAGCAAAATGAAGAGTAATCAATTGCATGAAAGTATTTGTTCCTATTGTTTAGTATTTTCTTCCATCCATTTAATTTGTAGCTGTGCTTTTCATTACCAGCCTCGTTGTATTTTCTGCCCAGGGACTTGAGTGTGATGGAGTGGGAACTACAGTTCAATTCTTTCCTCTAAATTCTCCTTTTGATGTTTATCTAAATTAGCAAAAACTGTATCTTTTGGGAATGACTCATTCTTCCTTCCTCTCTTCCATTCTCGCTCCCTCTGTACTTTTAGTGTCATTCTTTGCTGTGGGACAGCAGTCTGCACCCTGTCACTTGTATTTTAAATAAACGCTGATTGGCCAGTAGCCAGGCAGGAAGTAGAGGTGGGGTGACCAGGCAGGAAGTAGAGGTGGGGCAATGAGAATTCTGGGAACACGGAAGTTTCAGTCTGCAGTCATCACCCAGACAGAAAGGAAGCCATACACAGAGCAAGCAAGATGTGGCTGCCTCGCCGATAAAGGTACCAAGCCACGTGGCCAACACAGACAAGAATTATGGGTTAATATAAGTTATTAATAATAAGAAGCCTGAGCTAATAGGCTAATCAGTTTATGATTAATGTAGACCTCTGTGTATTTCTTTGGGATTGAACAACTTTGGGACCTGTTGGGACAGAAACCTCTGGCAACAATACTCCTCCCCTCAAATGTTTTTTTTTTTTTAATCTTAAAAACCAATGCATATCTGGGTGGTCTGGAGTACTGGGTTAAAACTTGTGGAGCTTCTAGTTCTAAAAGCAACAGGTTGAATTAAGTTACAGTATTGTCAGCTAGACTAGGAAGTCTGTTGGTTGGCTTAGGTAGGGAGTGTATGAACTCACCATAGTAGCAGTGTTCACAACGTTTGCTGTTGGCCAGAATTAATCTTGGCAAGTAGTTAAAGCATATAAATATTTTCCTAGATGCAATCTGGCAATGATTTATACCATCTTGAGAATTCAGCAATTTTCTCTTACCAAATTACCCAAATGATAGCCTTTTCTTAGTATTATTTGAAATTTTTATTCTCATAATTTGCAACTAAGAAATTCTTTCATATTTTATTATCCTTTGAATCTCTATCAAAAATATTTTTGATGGTTTATTTGTAGTTTCAATAAACCTATGTAATTGACCTAGCTACTTCAATAAAAGGATAAATTTAAAAGCCACTTGAAAGATCATTATTAATAAAAAGGATTTTTATCAGGCTGGTAACCTAACTGAACATTTCCTAGTTGGCAGACGCATTGCTCATATCGGTCTATAAACCTGGACTTCACATTCACGCTGAGTAAAGGATAGAATGGCTTAAGCACATATATAATGTATTGTAAACAATTTTTTTGCAAATTAATGAAGCTACCAGAGCAGCAGAAAGTACCAGTGTGCTAATTATGGATTAATTTGGGCTATATTTCACCCAATTTGTCTGTTCTTTTAATAGAAATATGTTTAAAGTAACAGCTTCAAAGAAAGTTCTTATATAAGTGAAGGTGTTCCTAGAATCAGCCTAGACTCTAGTTAGGGAAGTACGGCAGACAGATTCCTTGCAATGTCCCTTTCATTGACAAAAATTAATAATAACAGATAACATTTTTAAGTACTTTTTAATGCTTTGAATGAATGGGCAAATGTGATTTAAAAAAAAAAAATACAGACCAAGGATCAGGTGAAGAAGAAAAGCCAGAGAGACAAGTCAAAGTGGAACAGGCCAAACAGCGTTCTCAGTGAACTGGATTCTATTCTGTGGGAGGGAAGGATGAGTGTGTGGTTGGGGGTTGTGGACATGTGTGGAATCCAGTGATCAACCCCTTAGGAGCTGTCCGCATTGTGGCACCTGTGGTAGCACACCTGTGGTGTGGCCCAGGGCTCTGCCTGTTTCCACCTTCCCAGACCTGTGGTACACTCCACTGCATCAGGCTTGTGATGTGTAAGCTGGGGATCCAAGCCAGGAACTCATGCTTGTGTGGCGAGCATTTTACCCAATGAGCACTCACTCCAATCCAGAAATTCCCTTTGTAAAGCCACTAATGTCTACAGGACAGCTCAAACTGAGGTCTAATAGGAAGACATGATCACCCTCCAGGGATGATCCCCCAGCGTAAAGACGGACAAGGACTGTGTACCCCGATGCAAGGGTTCCTGTAGAAACCTAGTTGACTTGCAGGGTGGTGATGGCGAACACCTTTAGTTCCAGAACTCAGGAGGCAGAGGCAGGTGGATCTCTGTGTGTTCGAAGCTGAGTGTTCTTGGAGTCTTCAGCTAAAACAGGGCTCCTTCGTTCAATGACATCCGTTGTCTCCCGCGGGTTCAGTGGAGACTGGCAGTGAAGAGTGTAAATGGAATTCCCCTCTCAGAGCTGACGTGTGCACGAATTGCTTCCCACCTAGCTCTCCATGGCAAGTCCTCTGTGCTACAAATGCAGCTATATTGTACCCTTCTCAGAGAAAGTAATTCAGTACACAATGAAAAGTAGGATCGGGAGTGAGGGCCGATGGGATATGATTCCTACGATAGGAGATGTGGGAGAGGCCGAACTAGTGAGTTACGACTGAACTTTCCGTCCTCTGGCTGCCTCCTGAGTTTCCTTTTCTATTTGGATCAAATATTTACCCCATCAATCACATTTTCACATACTTGTTAGAATACCTGACTAAGATGTATAACCCGGTGATAAGGTATTGAGGACAGAAACTTAAGTTCATAGTTTTCCTTTATGCTACAACAGAAGAGAAGTATAGTAGCATCCCCAAGGTAAAGAGAGGCAGATTTGCCACGACTCCACGTCACACCAGACACTTCTTCCTGGGCACACCCTTTCCCGGGATACCTCATGGCTTCAACAGAGAGGCCTCATACGCCCCATTGGACACCACTGACTTCTTCAGAGCAGACCATCCTGCTGTGTTTCTCACACTGGGCCTGTGCCAATACCGGGAGCAGCAGCTGCAACCCAGATTCAGGCTCATAAGGAAACACTGACTTCAGGTTTTGAAAAAAAAAAAAACAAAAAACATTGGTCTATTGGCCCTAAGTCTAGTTTTTGGTTTGCTCGGATCATTACTAACTAACTTAATTTTCTCTTCTGTATATACTAATGCTTCTTGCATGGTGGGTAAGTATTTCTTTCAGATCTGGCTTCTTTCCTCTTCCCATCCTGGAAGACCATGTGATCTAGGACAAGGTATTTCTCTGTGAAAATGAGTTCAGTGGCAGCTTATTGAGTTGGTTTTAAGATTAAGGAAACATTCTAGACATTCACTGAGAGGTGACTGTTTTTCTTGTCTTAGTAGTGTATAAAGTTGCATACTTTACATATATCAGATAAATAGAAATTCATCTGATCTGCATCAATTTCATACATAACTAAAATATTTTTTTCTCAGCTTTCAAATCAAGGAAGATGTAACTTGTGCCATGCTGGGTTTTAGAAAGACTTTATTTTGTTGCTCATGGTTTTTCTCTTTCCCTCAAATGCTTTGCTATTTGATCTGTAAGGTCAGAGTTATATTCTTTGAAAGGTGTTAACACTGAAAAATACTTTTTCCAGCTTATAAGCTTACTGTCATTTACAAAGCTTTCAGAAGCTCACTCTTCTTTCTATTTTCAGCCTGGCAGGGGGCCGGATATTGTCGGTGCTAAAGATGCAGCTGATCAAAGGCCGCAACAGTGAAGATCCTTTCTACAAAGCTGTAGAGGAAGTTGTTCGGGATTTGGATATGAGGATTAAAAATATTATCAGTTCTCAAGAAGGCATAGCCGTCAGCACCACCGGCGTCAGTCCTGCAGCGGTAACGGATTTATTCTTCATTGTCCTTCTGTATGAAACATGATCTCTTCTATTCATTGCGGAAATTGTTTGCCCCCGCTACTCAAGTCAGAAGAATGCATTTTCTGTGTTTTAAGATGATGCCATCAAATTTGATTTTCTCAATAGGATTATGTTCAACTTAGGTAAATCAAAACATCTTTAGAGCAAAGGTGTTTGTTGAAATAAGGCATTGGATAATCTCCAGTCTATCTTTCAGCACTGGATACTTAAGGTGCTTAGGGCTACTTTTCAATAATAATTTTTATAATATCATTATTTTTCTATTTACTTTGATGTAAAATAATAGTCTGGTTTTGACCACAATGCTCATCTCTCTGCAGGACAGCAGCGGTCCTACTGGAACAGGTTTTTCCTTCAGAAGTTTACTTTCCATTCATAGAGCTATATAATTGTTATTACTAACTACATTTCCAGTTGATTACAATTCAGCCTTCCACATACTTGGGAATCTTCTAATTATACAACATATACTTCTTCCTTGGCTTTCTTGCATAGTCAGTTTTAATGGATCATTACTACAGAAATGAACTACTATGATTTTAAGTGCAGAACGGAATTTTAGACTATTATGGTGGGTCTGTCTTTTTCTTTTTTCTCTTTCTTTTGTTTTTATTTGAGATGAAGTCTTTCTGTGTCGTCCAGGTTGGTTTGGAAGTCACGATGTAGCCCAGACTGGTCTCAAACTCCTATCGTAGCATTCTGAATGCTGGAATTACAGTGTGAACCATTGTGCCTATCTACATTGTGGTATTTATTTGGTTAACAAAAGGCCCTTTTCATTAGGTGTCCCCATGGCAGGCCGTGCATGAAGAAATTCTTTTGCTTTTGCTGTTTATTCATTCTTTCATCCATGGGCCTTGGTGGTCATTTTTATCTATTTTACCACAAAAATGCATGTTCTTAGATTTACTTCAAAGGCATCATGGGGAAGATTCTGGGATGCTACCCCAATTATTTCATGTGCATGCCAACATTTTGAGTAACTAGCTTGGCACAAAACACAAGAAAGCTATCGCTGCAAGTGTAAGCCAGGAACCACTGCCATCTGAGATCACTCCGAGTGCCAGTTTCTCATCTGTAGGCAAACAAAATCCTGACCCAAACCACCTGTTCTCAGTCTTATGTTTTCCACTAAACCACGGACTTTGAAAACATCATCAAATAACACTCAGCGAAGGTACTATTAGCCTGTAGCCCTCTCTGATACCAAAGTAAACCATGTGGTAGGTACTAGGTGAGGGTAGGCTCGCTGAAGGTACTATTAGCCTGTGGCCCTCTCTGATACTGATGTAAACCTGTGGTGAGTCCTAGGTCAGCATAGGCTCTTGGTTTTAGTTTGAGTGCAGCTGTGTGTTACAGTTTGTCTGGTGGCCTTAGCTGACAGAGACAGAGACAGAGAGAGGCCAAAGCCGTGTTGGTAAGTGCGGAGGCAACTGGCTCAAGTCCACCGAAGCCCTGAAAGAGTAGCTCTGATGTTTAGGCACAGTGTCCCTCACCTCAGTGGACAAGGCGCTGCCGTTGCTCTTTGGCAAGTGAGAACATCTTGGGTGTAGGGAAGCTGAGTATTTCTCAGAGTCCCGTACTACATAATTGGTAGGGTATTTCTAGCCCAAGAATTCCCGAGAGTTGATGTCCATGTGTCTCTGGATATGACACGGCACCATGCATTGCCACCTCCTCCTTTATTGATGTCCATGTGTCTCTGGATATGACACGGTACCATGCATTGCCGCCTCCTCCTTTATTCTCTAGTTACTCCTTTCCCGGCTCTCCCTTTTAATCTGTTTCAGCACTGTTCAGACCATTTCATTTCAAAACCAAGTTATTGTAATCTTTTAATTTGCTGTAGCTGTTTCCATATTTGACAAATTTTACCCTAAAATATATTTTACACATTGCTGTTGTTGATTTTTCTAAAGTCTAACTAAATAAGATTATTGTATTTACTTGCTTAATAAAGCAGACTGCCCTATAACTTCCATGAACTCTTCCTTCTGACCAAGGTGCCTGGACCTGTCCTAGTCCCTGGTCTCTGCAGCTCCTTCCTCTCTGTGAGCTGTCCTAGTCCCTGGTCTCTGCAGCTCCTTCCTCTCTGTGAGTTGTCCTAGCCCCTGGTCTCTGCAGCTCCTTCCTCTCTGTGAGCTGTCCTAGCCCCTGGTCTCCGCAGCTCCTTCCTCTCTGTGAGCTGTCCTAGCCCCTGGTCTCTGCAGCTCCTTCCTCTCTGTGAGCTGTCCTAGTCCCTGGTCTCCGCAGCTCCTTCCTCTCTGTGACTCCTCTTAGCTCCATTCTCTCCACAGCTTTCTCACCATGATGAGTTGGGTGTTTCTACCACACTGTGCGTGTGTGTACTGGAAATATCACTTCACTCTGTAACTTTTTGCTGACTTATTTGTCTTATCAAGTAGGCCATGATTTCTCTGAAGGTAGTGCTTTTCACCTTAGAAGCCTTAGATTCTTAAAATAATGCTTAGAACATAGGGTAATCATGAATTTTCATTTGATTAAGCCTTTCGTTTTGCATTTTTGAGATAGGGTCTAAGTATAACTAGGCTGATCTTAAACTCATGTAACTGAAACTAGTCTCACACCCATGCTCTTGCCACCCCCTTCCCCGTGCTGGGGAAATAGGCGTGCACCACATCTGACTCTTGATCAGATCCTAAGTTCATGGAGGTTTGCTTTGGATTGCCAGAGCCCTGCCCTTTTGTACAAGAGAAAAAACACACAGATATTAAGAGATAAGTCATGGGGTTGAGGCTAACTAGATAGCGATTAGATTTTTCTGTCTTATAAGCCTAATGTTATTCACATCAGAAACAAATGTCGTCCTTTGATGATATTCTTATATGTCTGAAAATTGGTAAAATTGATTATAGTGTGGGTTAAAGGAGAAATGTCTAGATAGCTTATAGCTATAGCTGATTTTCTGTGATTTCACCAATAAAGAAAGAAAAATGACATTTGAAATGGAAATTCATGACTGATTCACCTAGATGAGGTGATTATTATAATTTAAAATTAATTTTTGTTCTAGCCAAAATCTTTTGCCATAAACCATGACACTGCATACTGCAGCAGAGATGCTGTGAAAATTTTGCTGGTTCTTTTGGATGAAGACGCGGCCAATGCTCCAACCAGAAACAGAGCAGAACTTTTATATAACGACGAGAGCACAGTGCCACACAGCGGGGCTTCTTTTCTCACGCTCTTCAGGTGTGTGGTGTGGCAGCTGGACGTGTGTGTGTGTGTGTGTGTGTGTGTGTTTGTATGCACACATACCTTGCTGATTATCAGGAATTTCTACCTATGATAGGAGACTTGGAAGCAGCTGGACAATATGGAAAAAGCAAACAAAAAATAAAGGAAAATTGGACATTTCACTGTAGCACAGTTATATTTATAATGTAGCACTTAAGAGTGTGGCAGATGATTTGGGTTTAAGTGTTTTGCTGTAAAAATACTTGTTTTGGTATGCATCAAGAACCTTGTTAAACCGCAGTCCTTCAAGCGGTTCCTTTAATAGTGTCCGCACTGTCTAAGTGGAGAATTGAGACTTAAGAGAGATGTCATGATATTCCCTAGAGAGCTCAGTTAACAAGTAGCCAAGGTTTCCTCTCCCAGCCTTGAAGTCTTTCTTTGTGGACCACTGTTCTGCATAAGAATAGGACGGACGTGCACACCGTATCATAGCAGAATCAGCCTCTGTTGGGTCCTTGTGCACTGCGGAGGAAAGGATTTGCTAGGTGCGTGTTGGAGTTGTACACAGACCTTGATGCTGCCTTGCTCTTGCCTGCAGCAGCTGTAATCCATACCATCGCCAGACTGCTACCGTTGCTGTTAACCCACAGAGACCTGGTGTGAGGGGAGACGCATAGGTGCGGCACAGATGGGCCCTCTTAAGAACTCTGACAGTGTTGTTTCCCTAGATGACCTTTCTGTAGTGTGCGTCCGTAGTGGCCGCTCGTTGTCCCGTTCCTACCAGGTGTTTGTCCTACGTCGTTGACTTTACTCCTCTGACTGTAATTGTCTCCTGGAATCTTTATCACGATTACAGTTTTTTTTTCCTTGTAGATGTTTATGGGAGTAGAGAGAACACTAATTTAAAAGCTACTCTGGTTTATGAGTGTCATAGTTCATTTTAGTTACTACCAAAAGATGTCTTAGACTGGGTGATTGATAAATAAATTCATTTCTTATAGTTCTGGAGCCTAAAAATTTAAGATCACAGTGTCAGCAGATTGACTGCTGTTTGTAGGCAGAGGCCTGCCTGTTCCTCATGAGTTGCACCTGCTCATGCTTCTTACTGTGGTAGAAAATTTGAAAGGACAACAGTGGCCAAACAGGGTCTCAAGCTCTTGTATAAGGACACTAGCCTGAACACCTTCTAAAGGCCTTCCCTCTTAATATTGTTTCATTGGCAATTAAATATCAATATAATTTTGAAAGGACAGAAACATTCAAGCTCTATTAATTCGTGTCTTTTTTTTTTCTTATATAGGTCTCCCACACAAGTAGATAATACATCAATTAAACCCCTCAGAGAGCGAATCCATAAGTCAGTACAAGCAGAAAAAGTTAAGGTATAATAAAGTTTGATCATAAAATGGTAAATATTGTTTTATTTTGGAAGAAATAAATATACAAACCTGGGTCGGATATTGTAAATATGCAATTCATGTAACACAATAAGAAGGAAATGAAAAATAAGCCATGACAATGACAGTTGGTATAGAAAAACATTGTTTTCACATAATCTTGACCTATCTGTAGCTTTTTAATTTACTGGAGTAAATGAAAGAAAGGCATACGCAGTCGCAAATGTTACGCCATTGTCTATGGCACAAGTGAGAGGGAAGTAAGGACGCTGTAGGATAGAAACCAATAAATAGTAGTTTATTTTTGAAGATTTTTTTTATAGGAAGAGAGTAAAGAAACTTGATATGTCACTTACAAATAGAAAACTATCTGAGCTGGGTGTCCTGGGCATCTCCATGATCCCGGCAGCCTTACACTCTGGTGTCTAAGGCACCTCGGCCAGCCTGGGTGCATGGTGAGATCATGTCTTAAGCAAGCATATAGGCAGAAAACCCCCCAATGTAGTCTACTCCCTGCTATTTTAGATACAACCATTCCAAGATCAGATAGAACTCTTATGCTTTTTGTATTTTGATATGTATTTCGTGGTTAATCATTTTTTTTCCTCACCTGTACCTGGCCTTCTTGCTGTAAGAACATGCTACCTTGTAACTGTAGTGTTCTGAGTTGGATCTGTCACCGAGGGCTTTGGAAGTTCTCTCTGTGGTGCCTGAAGAGGGCCTCTAGCAGGAGACATAGTCACACTAGTTCTCAACAACATGGAATGGGAATCAAAAGCTTTGCTTAGATTGTGTATTAACAGTAAATGAAGTAATTTTATAAGAAAATTTCTGTTCTTGCTACACATGAAATTGAGAAAGGCATACTATCCTAAACAGCATAGTTACTGTCTTTTTATTGGTGTTTCCTATAGGTGATGCTCTAATGGGTACAGGTGACATGTAGGTGCCACCACCCTCTGACCTACATCGTCTTACCATGCTTTTTATAACTTGTTTGTCTGAGGAAGGGGATCAGAGAGTGTCACTATGTGGCCCAGGCTGGATGGAACGCTATACTACCTCAGTCTACAGAATACTAATTAGAAGTGTACACCATTGCATTTACTCCTCGTTATAACTTTATAAACACGTTTCTAAGTCTTTGTGAGCAGTAGAAAGAGTTGCTGGAAATCTTGAGTGACAGGAAGACTTGTGGTGAGCTGATACAGCCGAAGTTGTGTTCCCAGGGACCACAGGTACCCAGTGAGGAGGGAGTCTTGCCACCGTCAGCTCCCGGGGACCGCGGGTGCCCAGTGAGGAGGGAGTCTTGCCACCGTCAGCTCCCGGGGACCGCGGGTGCCCAGTGAGGAGGGAGTCTTGCCACCGTCAGCTCCCGGGGACCGCGGGTGCCCAGTGAGGAGGGAGTCTTGCCACCGTCAGCTCCCGGGGACCGCGGGTGCCCAGTGAGGAGGGAGTCTTGCCACCGTCAGCTCCCGGGGACCGCGGGTGCCCAGTGAGGGGGGGGCTTGTCACTCTTTTCTAGTTTCTGTCAAAAATAGCTTTCCAGCCGTGTGCATTTTTACACCTTTTTTTCCAGCTTCTCACTTCTTTGTGATTAACAGACTGTAGTTGTCTAGTTCTTCAGTGAAAAATATGGAACAAAATTTTTTCTAATATGGGAATGGCTTTCATTAGTTTTAAAGATAATTTATCGCTCAAAATGAAATTGGCTTTTATGAAGCAGCTGGAAAGGTGGCCATTCCCGTATCTTTCAAGCTACGGTGAGTGATTTTATTGCTGTCACCTTTGCAAACATCTGAGTGAATTAGAACACTAGTCCCTGGTTATATGGCATAAAATGTAATTACTAAATATAATATATAATTACATTTTAATCAGTAAATACTCTTAGTAATATCCAGCATAATGTAAATATAATTTGAAGTGTTAAAAGGCTGTGAGGTGACTTCTAATGGTTTGGGGAATTCTCGGCATCATCATCAATGGTTATGGACTAAGTGCGATTGATGATGTATCCGCATTTTATGTATAGACCAGACAGGAATACTGGAATGTGCTCCTGCTCCTGGGATAGCTCAGCAGTCTCACTGCAGAATGCACTTCTAGACTGCGTGTTTTCCCGTCCTAGTTCATAGGCTGACTTTCCTTCTTCCTTCCCTGCCTCGCCCTCCAGTGTCTCTGCGCACACGTAACCCAGGCTGACCTTCAGCTTCCGAGCCTCCTGCTTTAGTCAGATGGTGGCGCACACCTTTAATCCCAGCACTCGGGAGGCAGAGATAGGCGGATCTCTGTGAGTTCGAGACCAGCCTGGTCTACAGAGCTAGTTCCAGGACAGGCTCCAAAGCCACAGAGAAACCCTATCTATCTCGAAAAAAACAAAAAACAAAAAAAAACAAAAACAGAGTTAGGGCTACAGCTGGATGTCGCCATGCCCTCTCATTATCAACTTTATCTGTCTGATAACTTTTCTTCATTTATGAGAAAGTCGGGCTTTCATTTCTTATCTCTGAGGGTAAATGCAAGTGTATAATGTGAAATTTTCACCATTAAAAGTCCTTGTTAAGTCTTTCTAGAATGATACAGTTAAAAACTCTTTCTGGTTTCCCCAAATATTTGTTTTAACTAAGAAATAATGTCTTCCCGTGTTGTTTGTGCTCCCCTTGCTTAACATTTGCTATTTCCGTCTCTTTTAACATCTCCATTCCCATTTTTGCCTTAGTATTTCTCCTCCCACCAAGGTCTTTAATCACATGTGCTACTTTTCTTTTGGATTTTTTTTAAAAAATACAATATAGAACTCCCATTTTTTTATGGTTGTGTGTATGTATTCAGTTATCATAACATTCACTCCAAAGCCGCCCAAAGGAATGTATTACAAAACCTCTAGAATATAAAATTGAATTTTATAACTGTTATAAAATATAAAACATATGGATAAAGCTAGGTATTGCTAACAAGCACTAAGAGACTAGCCGTAGTAACAAGTGAGTTCCAAAACTGTAACAAATCTAGATAGAAGTTCCCAGTGAGTGCTGTTATTTGTAAGAACCACCTTTATAGTATGTGTCAGTTACTAGGGAGCATGTCTATAACTAAATGGAAAATAAGACAAAATATAATTGCATTTTTTTCTTTGTGTTACCAGATGAGGCAGACCTTAATTAGATCACAGTTTGCTTGTACTTATAAAGATGATTGCACGATGGGCAAGAATAAGTGGAACGGTAATTCATCTTCAGAGCCATCTCATGCTCTGCGCTTGGAAAAGGATGATTCTGGTAATTAACCTTGTTTGAATAATTAGCCAACCAATTATTTTCACAAATACTAGGCAATGTAAAGACTTGTTTTTAAGGCCTGTATTTGTTTAGGAAATTGAATCTAAGTACAAATTTATGGATAGGAATAGGATATGATTTAACCTAGCTAACTGGATTTAAAAAATAATTCATAGTATTTACCTGTTGTATTTTTACATAGATATTCATTGTTTGGGGTGAGATGTGGCATAGTAAAAAGACAATATAGTTATTTCTTGACATTTGATTGGGTGGGATTATTATACATGTCTTTAGATGCTCTAGCCATTTTAATGATTATTTTATATGTCTCGTGATTTGTAATACTAAGTATTATATGATTCCTTTCCCCTTGTCATTTTAAGGTGCCCTTTCTTCTGTTGGAAGAATTGAAACAAGTTCTGAAAGTGTGCATCAGGACAGAAGTAAAGATGACAAAAAACCTAGAAAACCTACAGAAAATAAAATACCCAAAAGGAAGCAGGTGGTTCTAGACAGCGACAGTGTCTCCTGTGATAATGGAAATGAACCGTACCAACATAAACTTGTTAAGTTCCCGAAAGTACCCAGTGACTCACACAGTAAGGCTGGCGGCAAACCAGCCCACGGAGCAAAAGGCAGTAGGTGCACTGCCAAGGTCAAACTGATTCCTGGCCAGACCAAGTTAACTCAGTTTTTTAGGCTGTGATTTTTGTCATCTGTGTGCTTTAGATTTGTGTACAGAAGACCATTCACCAAAGCCATGAGCTAACTTTTAAATATCACAATGTAAATTCTGATGCTTTATTATTTTGATAGAGAGGCGCACATGTTAACCGCTGTCCAAAAATACCAGCACGTCAGGATTATGCAGGAGTTCCATAAAGTTTAATGCACAAGCCAAAGCATGTCATGTAGGTCATTACGTCTTCACTATTTCTAAACAGACATTTAGGATAATGCACAGGTCATATCAACACTAAGGGCTTTTCTCTCCCCTTGAAATGAATTGCGTTCTTCTGGAAGGACGGCGTGGACCAGCAGGACTCAGACTTGCCAGCAGGGCCGGTAGACTCTTCCCAGCATACACCTGAGCACTGAGAGGGAACAAATGACAGCGCAGTTACCACACAGAAGGAAGGAAAGTTGTGGAGCTGTTTTAATAAATTCGGAATAAATCAAACCACAATTATGACTTTTAGGAATTTCCCATTTTGACAGGGTCACCTGAACCCGTGTTCCTGCTACACTTTGATATGGTCAGATCCAAGTCAGTTAAGCTCAGACCGCTTTTTATAGAATTAAGATGTAGGAATTGAAGTTTTAAAAAGCTACTCACTGTCAAAATCTCTCCTTCCTATGGGAAATTTAGCTGAGTTTTCTTCATCCCCAATTTCTCTCTTTTCTTGTGTTGACTCAGAATTCTGAACTCCATTCTCAGCTGGAAAAGCTACTGATCCTTTCAGAGCAAGATAAGGTTTTACAGCCAGATTCAGTGGTAGACCATGACTTAGGAGATTCTGTTTGGAGCCTGGGTTCTGTAAAGAGAAGGTTGGTTTGTGTTCCAGCTGTCGTCTTGAGCACAGACAAGCTAAAGTACCGTTGCCCAGCATGCCTGCGGATCAGTTCTAAAGTGCTCTACACTGTTTTTCACTTCTAAAATATCCTCGATAGGAGAAACACAGTTTTTGATAAGATGGGGAGGTACCTGGTATGTGTGAAATGGTACTAGTTATCTGAACGCACACTGTGACTCTGTCGGCAGTATTCCCATTTATAAAATTAAAACACCAAGTTTACTTCTAGGTGACTGTGGTAATAAAATCAGACTGCATGGACTTACCTTTGAATTCTTGTTCTCATCGTCGCTCAAGAAGCTGCTGTCGTCGTTTTTATATTGTTCCAGAGAGGGAGCCACAAGCGATCTTTCTGCGGCGTCTTCCTTCTGGAAGGCTTTCCCCATCCTAAATGTATTAAATACCATGTCGTCTTCTAAATTTCTTATGGATTTGGAAGCTGAAAGTAAAATACCTTGAGAAAACAGAGACACAACCAGCATTAACGTGTAGGAAGAGAGACTCATTTTTGCCATCCTTAGTTTGATGCTTGCGTAAAGCGAAGCAAGGATGTGTAAAATGAAAAACTCCGCTCTGACAGTGCTTGATTCCCCGCCTTTATATGTTTTCTGCTTGAATAGAAAACACTTGAAGGACTTATCTTTTCATCATTTGGAAGTGACTCATTGTGGAGGGCCTAGCCTTTTGTAAAGCTGCTAATGCCTGATTGCTTGGGTTTTAGTGCCCTGTTGTTTATTTTGTGTGTGAATTTTCTCAGAATCTGATTAAGGCCTTTGATAGACGGCTTTCTGTTGAGTAGATTATAGGCTCTTGAAAGTGGGTTGTTATTAAGGAAGACCACAGGACACCAGGCTCTTTTAATAAGACTGTTTCCTTCTTTGTGGTTTCCGATTAAGCTATTAAAACACAAGTTACTTCATTCACGGATGATAAGGATAAAGTTTTATGCTCTTTTAATCCTTCTTAAATAGAAGTTATCTCCAGAAAAGAGTTTTATTTTATAAATACTTGATATGATCTTTTGTGATCTAAAGTACATACACTTGTCAGTATTAACAAAATAAACAAACCCAAAACCTCTTCACTTCATCCAAAACTCATCTGTCTGGTGTTTCATCTCAGTTTCAAGAGGACAATAAATATTTATTAGTGAATTTAGTAACTAAACGATAAAAAGTCTGTGAAAAAATATTGATGGCTTCCATAGAGATTAATTTTAGAAGTTTTATGCTTTCGCTTTGTTTCTTATTTATTGAGACTGGATCTTGCATTGTAGCCCTGGCTAGATTTAAATCTATGGCAATCCTCCTGCCTCACCCTACCAAAGTCTGGGATTGCAGGTAGGTACCACAGTGAGCTTAGAAATTGTTTCTTTTAATCACATGCTTCAGACTTAATTTGTAAGGTTTTAGTACATTCTCATGCAAGTCTGTGTGTGTGCGTGTGCGTGTAGTCTCTAGGCCATAGTATATGTCTGTGTTGGGTTTTAGAAATGCTTTTGTTTAACAGGGCACAAGAACCTGTTGCCCCGTGTTTGACCCTGACAAGTACTTGAGTATCTCCTTACGCTTTGGGGCTTTTCTCTTAGCTGTTGTTCTATGTGTCCTCTCCCCTCCTCCTGAGCTTTGAACCTGGGGTTGCATGTGCTGGCCACATGCTCTGTCACTGAGCGGTATCTCTAACCCTTCTAGTTTTCGTTCTTTAGGTGGTGTGGCCCTGTTTGCCAGCGGGGCCTTGAACTCACTCTGGAATCGTGGCAGGCTTTGAATTGTCAATCCTTCTTAGCATTCAGAGCTGCTAGAAGGGCTGCCCAACTTTGCTGTCTTTTGCTAATTGATTATGAGCACCCTGTGTACACTATTCTGGACATTATTTGTTAGATATGCATGTTGGAAATATTTTTCTTGGCTTGGGTCTTGTTATTTCAACTTCTTTGTGGTGTGTTTTGGTGACCTTGACTGCTTAATATTAATATGTAAATTTTTCTTCATGTTTACTTATTCTTAATATGTGCTTTCTCAAGACATTTTTTCTAACTCTGAGATTATTGATGTATTTCCATATGTTGTATTTTTAAACTTAAATATTTTTATTTTCACATTTGTCATTTATTAATTAATTCTAAATTATTTAGAATGTTGCAAATGGTAGTGCATTTAGGCTTTTGAGTTTCTGGTGTCTGCATGTTCCCTGGGCCGTTATGCATCCTCTTCCTGTTGATCTGTGGCTTGCCTGTGCAGTGTGCCAGGCTTCCTGGAACCAGTGGGTCCTTTTCTGAAGTCTTCGCTCTGCTGTCACATCGACAGACTTATCAATTTATATTTTAATGTTGAAGTGGGTGAAGCCTCCCAGCCATTTCATCTGCTGTTGACTTTCGTGAAGCAGCTCCTTGGCTATTCTTGGACAGTTCTTCGTTCCGAAGCACAGGGATTCCTTACAGACTGTTTATGAAGACACACTAGCCCAAACCTCCAGCTAGTGTTGAAAAGGAGGACACAGACATCTGCATAGTAATCATTTTACAGAACATAGTGACGCTTTGCTCTTGAGCACAACCAAGGTCTCTTGTGGACTGTCGAAAGGGTAGGAGATTCCCTTCTGTTTTTGCCTTACTGACATTTTTTTTTATCAGAAATTGCTGGTTTTTATTGAATGCTTAGTATTCTGTGTATTTTGGAAATGGTCGTATAATTTTTTTCTTTAGTCTTTAGTGGGCTAATAGATTTTCTCTAGTACTAAAATTTTCATGTGCTGGAAAACAGATTTTCATTTATATTCAACCTAGAAATATTTCATTTGGTTATTTTAAATTTATTATCATGAATGAGATCTATAAGTTCTCTTTAATACTGAATTTGTCTGAGTTTGGCATTAGATTGTAATAATTTCATAAAATGTAAGAAGGGAAAGTCTTGGGCTGGAGAGATGGCTCAGAGGTTAAGAGCATTGCCTGCTCTTCCAAAGGTCCTGAGTTCAATTCCCAGCAACCACTTGGTGGCTCACAACCATCTGTAATGGGGTCTGGTGCCCTCTTCTGGCCTGCAGGCATACACACAGGCAGAATATTGTATACATAATAAATAAATAAAAAAATAGAAAGAAAATGTGTGCCTATGTCAATCGCCTTTAAAAAAAAAAGAAGAAGAAGGGAAAGTCTTTTCCTTTACTGTACACTATTTGGGTGTGGTTTTCCCATAGTGGAATTTAAAATCGTTTTTGTTCTGAAAAGCTAGAAAGAGGTATTCAACCTCTCTGTTCTTTGTTTTAAGAATTTATTGTCTATGATGTGTGCAAAGTATATTTTATCAGGTAGACATAGTTAATGTTCAGTCACCCGGGGCTATTAAAATTATAATAGGTAAGTGTTTTCTGGGTGTTATATAAACAAAAATCTCTCCTTTCTTAGAGAGTGCTTATCTGTTTTTTGCTGCTGGTTTATTTGCTTTTAATCTTAATGCTGTTACCTGTGGCCTGCTTTGTTTTCCAGACCTAAAACCTGCTTGGAGGTGTGTGCATGATCCATAGAAGTGCTTATTAATACTAACCTTTTCTTCTGAGCTGCTGTTGGAGTATGATAAGTATTAATAATTATGTATTTTGTTTTAAGTTTCCACTGGCTGAATTGTTTTGGCTAGGTCTCCTCTCAGATTTGAGCCAAATCCAAACCATTCTGACAGTTTAAAAAATTAGTTAGCGTTTTCCTTTATTTTGCTTAAACTGTTTTAGCCTCTGAGCAATATGAGGTTTTCTCAAAGCCATTTAATGACAGAGATAGTTTCCAGTTCTTAATGATAACTCTTTTCACGTCAGCTACTCTGATGTGCAGTGGAGCATGGCAGATTTCTTTTTTATTGATGCTGAAAATTTAGTTCCCCAAGCAGTAGAAAGCAACTTTGAAGAAGAAAAAAACTATTGCCAGATGGAATTGTGTGGTTCAGGAAACCTGGGTAAGTACTAGGCTCATACCAAACGCAGCTTCATTTTCTGAAGGACTACTATGAATACTGTCTTTGTTTGTAAATCATTTTATTATTAATCTTTCTTCCAGTTAGCGTACTGTTGCTATGTGACGAGAGTAAATTTGCCGAGAATCTTGTCAGGTGGGCACCGGTTTACTAAGAATGAAGAATTTCTTGCTGATTAAATTTCTCAGTGTAAGCACCAAGGTTGTTTCAGAACTTCCGTGTGTAGAAAAATAGTGCTTTAGGAAAAATTCTTCCTTGTTGAACTTGATTCAGTAAAAATAAGTAAATATAAAAATAATTACTGTGGATGTTCAAATA